TGCAAATTTTATTAATCACGTATCCGATAACAACATTATAAGAGTACAATCATAAACCTCCCATATAAACATTCTCATCCCATTCAATAATCTTAATCATTCTCGAACTTTCATCCATCTCCAAAAAAATATGCTGTGAATTAATGATTCTTGTCTGTTCCCGGTATTCGGTAGCTAATCACTATAGCTACAATTGAATTCAATTGAATCTTTTGCTCACAGGGACATTTTCTTCTTCCTCGCCTATTTCCTTACTGTGCTAAACAGACAACACTGCATAAATTTATGTTCAGTAATCTCAAATCAATTTGTAGTTAATCTTAACCTTTTTAAACACAATTATGGTTATAATTTTCTTATATTTTGGAAACTTATGAATATGGTTTAATTTTAAAAAATATATAAGGAAATTCAATAGTTTTAAACATATATATATATATATATATTAATAATCAACAAAACAAATAGTATTGGTATTGTTAGCTAGCCTTTGACCTATTCGTAATGCATACGATCCTACGTTAACGTTACTAGAGGACAGGGGGCGCTAGGAAACCGAACCATTTAATAACAGTAATCAAGACTCTGGTAATCCCTTTGCCCGTAATTATATTAGCTTATTTCTGTTAGATCCTTATCTGTAAAATGAGCCTCCTAGGGAATCTATTATTTATTCCGGATGTTTCAGCTGGGGTTTATTTATTAAGCTCTAAAATTAAAAATTATTCAAAAAAGAAATTATTGATTCAATTGTATTTCTATAAATATAAGTCTTGCTAACTTAATTTAAGTGTTTTAAAAAAATTTTTATAAATATTTGTTTAAAATAATTATTTTTTAAAATATCGTTTTATTTTTTTTAGATATTTATAGAGATATTACATAAGATTTTTTTAAGGGGTAGGGCACTATTAAATTGATTTTTTCCATATAAGATTTATTGGGTATCTTTAAGATTACCTACTGCAGGTCTTTGGCTATGTTATATTTTTTAAATAGTTTAAGATTTTTCACTATTTCTTTATTGTAACTTCTTTTCTTTTCTTTTTTTTAAAAAAAATTGAATTATAATCTTTGAAAAATTTTTTAAATTATACTTATTTTTCTTTCTTGGGGGGAAGAGCTGAGGAGGGGGATTTTTATTAGAAGAACTTGCAAATTTATGAAGAGGGAATTCAAAAATGAAAAGAATCATAGGCGTAGCTAGGATTTTCATAAATGTGGGGGGGAATTAAAAAATTATTGGGGGCTTCGCCCCCAGACCCTCTTTTGGGCGGGCCTTCGGCCCGCTTTTCCCAGGCCTTCGGCCGGGTTACTTTAGTGTATATATAATAATAAAATATTTTTACAAATTTTAATAAAAAAATAATCCTGGAACAAATATGAAATATATTTTCATTAGTTAATATAAAATAAAAATATAATAAATTACTTGTATTGTATATACCTTAATATAAGAGCATGGTAATAATTTATTCCAAACAATTATAAGAAATTTATTTATAAAAAGTAAGTAGACATATAGTTGATTTTACTCTATTATATAGAATTAGTTATAAAATACTAGGTAAAATTCCACTTTTACAGACATATTTGACAGTTAGAGAATATATTACAGTTAATAATTTAACAAATTTTACTAATCAATGCTCTTGATATTAAATATAGCAACAATTTGCATTTAATTATTTAACGCCATCTATATATTTTAAGTAAAAATGATATTAAAATTTAATCTTCATATTATTCATCCCACAATGTCTTAAGATATTTTCTGATGTCCTTATCAATATTTTATACTTTTCTGTAAAATATATAATTCGCTATATTGGTAAAAATTACTTGATTGTCATTTGATAATTAGATATACTGTAAATCTACGACATATAATATTCCACTGTTTGTATTGTGCTTTAATATTTTTTTTAATTTATGATTTAATTTTATCAATAGTTTTATAATTATATTTTACTTTTATTAAGATGAATAAATTAAAATTACTCACTTTATAAAAAATTATATTTGATATATTATATTATTTAGTAATTTTATGGATCTATAACATTTCACTTCTGTCTTAAGACTTATCCTTGGCTTATATTCCATTTATTAAAAAACATTTTTGGTTCATTTTATAAATTTATAAATTTATTTTCCCAAAAATCTATAAATTATGATGAATAGTTTTATAAAAAAATATCAACTTTTACATTCTTTCTTCCAAATTATTATTTATGATATATGCATACATATTTGAGGGTCAGGGAGTGGGAGGACTAAGGGGGAGAATTTTTATTAGCTTAAAATGATATTTACAAAAAGTGATAAATTTCTGAAGGGGGGGGGAATTTCCCCTTGCCCCCCCCCTGGCTACGCCTATGAAAAGAATGATGTTTATGAATAATTTTAAGTATATATAAAAAAATTTAAATTTATAATAATTATTTTGAATATTTATGAATAATTTTAAGTATCTATGAATAATTTTAAATTTATGATAATAATTTTGAATATTGATGAATAATTTTGAAAATCTATAAATAATTTCGTATATTTACAAATAAATTCAAATATTTACAAATTATTTTAGTGATTTTAAATAATATTTATGATTTGGAATTGAATAAAATATTATTCGTATTCGATTCGAATTTTCGAAAATAATTTTGCTAATTGTTTTATACGAATCAAATAAAATCGAATATCAAATAACGAATAATTAGTTTGTGTATAATTTTAGTTATTTATTATATTTACATCATATTAATATCATAATAAAAGCATAGAAGCGAAATTAAGATATTAAGAAAGTTTGATATAATATACTTGCTTAAGATTTTTTACTATTATAATATGAAATCCTAAATTATCCTGCATTTTTATCGTATTAATATAAAAGGTTATTTATAAAGTTGAAAAATAATAATAATAAAAAAAAATATACCTCCTCATTTCTGAAAAATTAAAATATTTTAAAATGTATTACTGGTGGCCTAATGGATGATCAAAATGGTGTGTGAAAGTGTGGATGCCCATCCCTTCAAAAACTTGTCTGTTTTGATTTATATCATTTTAATTTTCCCCTACATTGTATACGATATGCTGCTATAAAGCATATAAAAGAAAAATAAGTATAAATAATTAATTTCTTTTGACTACAATTCAAAATTAAATTGTCAGAATAATCATTAAAAAAAAATTATTTTTTAAAATCTGGCAGAGACTAGTGTTGCTAGATAGTCGAGTTCTCCAGACTTCCTCCGAATCGCAATTGCAATAACGTGAACGAGTTTTCAGTTGATTAGTTGACTCATTTTTACAACTCAATTCGTAAACCCAAGTCGTGACTCGAGGAATACACTATTTTGTTTCTACCACTCTTCAATATTAATGTAAAAAATAAATAACTACCACATATGCCATATTTACTATCTTTACTATTCAAATTTCTTCACATAAAAAATGTCTAATATAATTAAAAAAATGATTAAACAATATGAAATAACATTAGCAGTGGAGTCTCTAGGGGGAGGCGCAGGGTCTCGAGCCCCCTGAAAAATTTGAATAGCCCTCTGAAGCAAAAAATTTTTTTTTTAATGGCTCCTTAATATCTCCTTGAACTAAAAATAAATTTTTTTGATGCCCACTGAATGATTTCTTTTATAATTCCATTAAGTAATATAGATATAATTTTATTATTTCAAGAATATTTAAATTTTTATTAAATGAATATTATTTTAATTATTAGATTAGATTAATACATATAAATTATATTTCCACTATGTCAGCTAGCAATCAAATTCTGTATTAAAAATATAATATCAATAATTCACTAAATATTAATTTAGCTTTAACAGTTGAAGTTTAATTGACTTTTATTATTTAAATTATTATTCAACCCTAATTAAATAAATATAATCATATATTATTTGAAAATTAACAAATTTAATATTGTAATTAGCCGATTTCAAAATGAATAATCAACTGTAAACCTATTTTTAAATTTTATTATGTCCAAATAAGTATAAGAGATTTCTTTATAAAAAGTAAGTAGACATATAGTTTATAATCCTCTACTATATACAGTTGTTTATAAAATATTAGATATAATGTCACTTTTATAGACGTATTTGAGATTTGACAGTTTTATACAGTTAATATTATAATAAAATTTACTAATAAATGGTTCTGATAATAAATATAAGAACAAATTGCATTTGAGTATTTAACGCCATTTATTTAGTTATAAATAATTTTTAAAATTAAAAATTTTATTATTCATCCTGCAATAGATGTAATAAATTTGATATCTTTTCTTCTCTTTTTTACGTGTTTTTAGGAAAGCTATTTTTTTCTTTTTCGAAAAACAGTCTTGAGTTAAATTTTTAATACAAGTATATTTTTGATATTATTACAAACTACTATTATTTTAAGATATAATATACCAAGGTGGTGCGACAAAATATAAAACCTTAATAGTTTCATCATATCATTCTGGTTCTTGTTTTATAGTTAGAAAATGTTTCATTTCTAATATGGCATTGCCGTGTAACCAGGCTTCAATATATTTGCATAATTATTTCTTCCAAAGATTTTTAGTGTTTTTATTTTATCAATTTATCCAACATAATAAATTCTGATATTAGTTTACTCGTGAGTGTCATAGCTGTTGTAACTGTTGAAAAAAAGAAGAAATAAATTTAATATAATACATCAAATGTCAGTTATTTTCTGACAGGAAAATTAAGTTTTCCTTGGGGGAAGAAGAAGAGACAAGGATCACGGGGTGTATTTCATTGTTCGGAAAAACCCGTAGTTGGAGATTGGGAGATATTGGATTAGATGTCAGCTGTGGACCTTTGGATGTCAGCTGTGGACCTTTGAGAAATGAAGAATTGGATAATTATATTATGTTATATTTTTCTACATATTTTATGTTAGATTGTTGTGGTTTTATTGGAAATAAAGATAATTATGTTAAATATGGATCGTTGTTAATGGTCAATGGTATTTATTTAATATTATTAGAAAGAATTATTTTGGGTTGTTAAGTTATATAATTGAGAGTAAAGGGCATTTTTATTATATTGTAAGGTAACTTTTTTTATTGTTGCCAGCTGACCAAGATCGAAAGAGTGGGTTGATTCGGTTTTAAAGTAAAACAAAATTTTTGTTGTATACATATTACATAAGAGAAATTTTGACAATGCAATGTACTACAAACTATACAGATACATGAGTTTAAGGATATCTATACTTTTATATTTAACTTAAAAGGTGTAAGATAGAAAGTATGTAATGAGTATTAGGCAGAAATATGGAAATAAGATCAGGAATTTAAGACAGTAATATTTGGTATATTATCTTATGTCTAGATGTATATGGTACATATAATCTTGATCATTATTTGGTATGCCTTAAAACTCATTGAATGGTGTTATAGGTATTCCGTCATAGGAAGCTGAAAGACCTCATGAACAGCAGGACAGAAAGGATTGTTAAATATTTAAATATGTGAAATTTATGAAAATATATATGGATATAGACTTTTGTAATAAAGTGTGTATTATTTAATTATGCATTTTGGGTTTGTAAAGGGATGAATATGTATGGGATAATTTATTATTAATTAAGGTTAATATATTGCATAGGTAACATATGATATATTTAACTATGAATTATTATTTATAATGTTAATATATTGTATAGGTAACATATGATATATTTAATTATGAATGAGAATTTGAAGGAATTGAAGTATGATGAAGTCAGAATAATATCTATAATGTTAGATGTGGATAGTTATTTTGATTTAGTGTCTGCATTTAGTGTATATATAAATTGGATAGGAATTTGTATGATACATTAGATGGTGTATAATATTTTTTTTTCCAAATTATGAAATCTTTATATTTAATATATATATTTTTTTTTTAAATTATAAATTTTTATAAGAAGTTTTATTTGCAATTATTATATTATTTGTGTGGTATGCAATGATGTGAAGGGAAAATATTTTTACAGATAAGGTCAGCCCGTGTTGAGGGGTATGCCTTGAGGTGAAAATATTGTTTAGTTTGCATACTGGGGAAAGTTTTTTTTTTTGTAAATTTATGCTGCATAATACATTTTTTTAAATAATTTTATAACACATCACATTTTACTATTTAATTATGAACATATTTTTAAAGAAAAGACTCAAATTATTTTATATTGTGAAGGTATATTAAAAATTCTTTACATATATACCATATAGCCCATTATATTATCAATTTTTGTTACTTTGCATTCTACATTTTTGTGAATTTGTGCTAATTGTGATGACAGAGTTAGGTAGAAATGGTATATTTTTCTTAGGATACTGAGTAATTCCTAGATGGAAAATATTGTATTTTCTACATATTATATATTTGTTCCTTCATATATAATATTAAATGTATTTATATACGTATGTATTGTAATTTTATTTTTAATCTTTGTTCGGCCAAGTTTCGCAATTATTTTTAATACCTAAAGATGGATTTTTATATTCATTTTAGGAAATATTTATAAAGATGTAGCTTTGTTTTTTTTTCACATGATAGAATGAAAATTACATGTGTTGAAATTGCGTTTCACACATAGACAATGTTTTCACATTACATTATTATATGTAAAATCATTATTTCCTAATTACCATGAATCATATCCTAATAATGTATATTATAGCTAGTAGTTCCCAAATGTCTTAAAATGAATAAATTATTATGTTTTGCGGATATTACATTGTCCATATTAATGTTCCGTAGATTATAAATGCAGATACCCCAATGTACATGTCATTATTGATAATGTCTGTTTTGGCGATTTTATATTGAAATGTACTGGAGTTATTATATTATAAATCATTATAAGGGAAGTTGATTCGATAAATTCCCTGAACATCTTCAAGGCGTCCCAATACAATTATAATGGGCGAGTCGATACAATTCAAAGAGGTGATTCGATACAATTCAAAGGGGCGATTTGATACAACACCACCACAAAGAGAGGGACGCTGGGCTTGTGAAGGATGGGCGTGTTGTAACTGTTGAAAAAAAGAAGAAATAAATTTAATATAATACATCAAATGTCAGTTATTTTCTGACAGGAAAATTAAGTTTTCCTTGGGGGAAGAAGAGGAGATAAGGATCACGGGGTGTATTTCATTGTTCGGAAAAACCCGTAGTTGGAGATTGGGAGATATTGGATTAGATGTCAGCTGTGGACCTTTGGATGTCAGCTGTGGACCTTTGAGAAATGAAGAATTGGATAATTATATTATGTTATATTTTTCTACATATTTTATGTTAGATTGTTGTGGTTTTATTGGAAATAAAGATAATTATGTTAAATATGGATCGTTGTTAATGGTCAATGGTATTTATTTAATATTATTAGAAAGAATTATTTTGGGTTGTTAAGTTATATAATTGAGAGTAAAGGGCATTTTTATTATATTGTTAGGTAACTTTTTTTAATAGCTATCACTGCAAATTAACCAGCATCTATTATTTATGTTGCTATGTAATTTAAGATTATTACTATAGCGGCTGAGAGCATATAATTGTATATTTTAGATAAACAATAATGGTCAACTGTGTAGTCGTTTATATATCATTTAAAATGGAAGATAATCTTTTAGAAATTTAATATCCCACAATAATTTTCTCGATTACTTATCTTGCTTCAATAATCTTATCTATCTAAGAGGAAGCTCTAACCACCTATAGTTCTATGATTTGGATTGGTCGTTTATACTCTCTCTTACAAAAATTGTTGATTTGGTTTAGGCCTATAAATTTTTCCTTATTAGTCGATTCTATAAAACATTGTCTAAAATGGAGAGAATTATACTAGTTTGATAACCCTTTGTCAATGTAAGTTGGAATTATATTATTGAATTATGTGATTTTTTATATGCTAGTTTATTTTGTATGGATAATATGATAAATGACAAAATATGAAAATCTGAATAAATGTTCAGAGTTAACAAATTTTAAAAAAGTATAATATATTCATATAAAACCCGGCCGAAGCCCCTCAAATTAGTGCTATGGGGGGCTTCGCCCCCCCCCCCATAAAATTTTTTTTAGGTGAGCCCCCTGAGATTGTGAAGGCTAGCGACGCCCCTTAACATTAGCATTGGATAAAAAAGTTATTACGAATCTGAATAATTTTTAAAAGGGGTAAAAAAATTTTTGAAATTTGAGTATATAAAAAAAATGGATCATTTAAAAAAAATACCAGTATATATGGAACTAAAAGAACAAATAAATGTTACAAAATATATATTGTGTTACTTATGAATAATTTAGAATGTCATATGCATAATTCGATTGAATAATGAAAAGGGTTATTCAACAAAATTTTTAATTCGTTTCAAATTTAAGATTAGTATACATCATGTAACATTTTTAATCTATATAATATTAAAATACATTTTTCATGCGAAAATCACCAAAATTTGAGTTCTTGCACCTTGCTTTTGGGACTAACTCTGGTATTGCTCATTTATTAATTATTCCGACTTTATTTACTTATTTTTTTAGAAATGATATAAGTAATGAATTTTTTATGAAGCATTGAACCCACATTTCCTTATAATTTTTACAATGAAAATAGTTTCCAACCAATCCTAAACAATTAATTTTCCGACAATGGAAAATAAACAAGATGGTTTATCTACATAATAAATTGTTGGCATAATTATTAAAAAATTACTGCATCGAGTATTTTTATATTTTTTTTCCTATAAATTGTAATATTTTTTACTATTACATATGCCCAGATGATTAACGTATGTATTTGTTAATTTAATAATATTCACACAAAAAAAATAATAAAAAATATGACATTAAGAATTTTTTTAAAAAAATTTAAAGTTTAAATTTAGGTTTGGTATTCGAGTAGAGAATTGAGTTCAAGTCTTGAGTTCGTGACTTGAGTCGTAAGGAGATTTTAATCGACTCAAATCGATTCATATAAAGATGAGGTAACTAATCGACTCAAAAAATTAATCGAGTTTTGAATCAATTTTTGATTAAAAACTCGACTCGGGTCACAGCTAAGTAGACTCGGCTGTTTTTAATTGTCAAAGGCCTACCCCAAATAAAATTTATGAATAAAAAAGTCAGTCAAAAAAAAGTGCTTTCCCCCCCCTAGAAAATTCTCATCTCATCTATGCAGTGGCCTCAGACATTATAATTGGTAATGATCAAATTAATAAATAAATTTCCAATTTATTTTATTTTATACCTAACACTTTCTGCTAATTTACTAAAATATCTTCTTTCCGTTTATGCACGCTTAGAAAATTTTGGCGATACTATGAAACTAATTCAAACCTGACAAATTTTTATTCCTATGGTTATTCTGAATGATCCTCTGATATCTCAACTGATCTCTGAATCTATTAAAAAAAAATTACATAAAAATTCGCGTGATTGTGAAAAAAAAATATTTTCTTCTGCTACTAAAATTCTTAATATTAAAATTGATTTTATACTAGGAAAAGAACAATATTCATCATCCTTGTCTGCATTAAAGTAACTATTTAAATTTATAAAGTGACTGAGTTTTTTGTTAGAGCAAAGTATGGATCCTTAAATGCGGACAATAAAAAATGTATTTTAAATTCATCTTTGACTATGAATAAAAGTAATTATATAAATAAATCCATGGTATATTTAGTTATTAAAAGATAATTCTAAAATTGATGAAATACCTAATCCACAATGCACAATTTTTTCACCTGACAATCTCGAAATGGCTTGGACAGATAATTATAAAATTATTGGCTCTGGGTTAGCAAATTTAGGTAATACCTGCTATATGAATAGCACCCTTCAATGTCTTACATATACACCTCCTTTAGCTAATTATTTCATAAAACATCCACACATTGAAAATTGTAACGATAAATTATATAATCAAAATTATTAATATATTTTAGGTCATGTACAAGGTTTTTGTATGGAATGTGAGATTGGAAAACACATAAAATTTTCTTTATCAAAAGTTTATAATGTTTATAAGCCTCTAAACATATTGCGTAATCTTAAATGTAAGATGATGCCAATATATAAATATATATATTACCCATTATATTTTTTATGTATAATTTTATAAATGTTTTAAAGGTATAGCCAAACATTTCAATCCATATAAACAAGAAGATGCACATGAATTTTTTATTCATATTGTTGAAGCTATGCATAAAAGTGGTGTTAATGGTTATTCAAAGTAAATTATTCAATAAAACCTAGTTTTTATAAATTGTTAACTTGGAATGAAAGTATTGTAGAAAGGGCTGATCTGATATTCATGAGCTGGCTGCAACAATATCAATAAATATAGACCTAGCTTTTGGCCTAAAAATTAGTAACATAATATTAGGGCTGTGCCAATCCACAAATTTTTCACCAATCAGATCAGATATTATTAAAAAACTGCTGAATTTCATTAAAATATTAATAATATTTAAAAAAAATCCAACTAATTTTCACTAATGATTAAGTGTATTTTAAATTCTCCATAAGTTAATAATCTTATTTTGAATATTTGGAATGTTTATGGGTTCATATAGTGCAGCCATTTAGCTGAGTTTTAAAAGTGTTTAAATCAAGATTTTAGTCAAAATATTATTACCTAAGCCTCAAAATTTTGTCAACAGAAGTCCAAACTTTCCCAGCTGTGGGAAAAATTATTGAACATGAGTAATTTACTTTTTGACAAATCTTAAGTTAACCATTTTTAAAAATTGGCTAAATTGAGCCATTTAACAACATTAACTAAATGTGACTCATTAGATATTATAAAACCTTAAAATCTTTTTCATGTTGCAGATAATATAACATTAACAATAAATTGTGTAAAATGTTTAACTATTCTTTTTAAACATTACAACAAATAAATTGAATTTAGCTCTTTTCATTAATTTATTGTTATGAAATTACCTATAAATTAAATAATTAGATAAACAATAATATTGTTAAACACACAATATTTTAGCCAAAAAGTATTATACAAACATGGAGATTTTGCTTTAAGATGAAAGGTTTGGACATCTATCAATGAAATCTCTAGGCTCACATATTTTGGTAAAAATTTTAATTTTAAATTGGCTAATTGGAGCCATTTAAAAATACTAATTACAGTCATAAAATAACCAAAAAAACCAATTAAAATATCAGATCAGATTAATTTTTTAAAAAAAAATTATTAAAGTTATTGCTAAACATAACATTAAATTTGATAATAAAATAAATATAAAGTTTGAGATTTATTCCCTGTGAGTGTTTTTTAAAAAAAATTTTTGCTGATGGGCTTTGGCCAAATATTTTTTATTTTATAGGTCAATTATATTGTGTAAAAAAAATTGTATAAACCTCCCAGCTTCAATCTAAAAATAATCAGTTTGACATAAAACTGGTTTGGGCTATATATAAGGACTCTACATTTAAAGGCTTCAAATTTAGATTATAAATTATTACTGATTTCAGTATTTTGTTTTATCTGTGAATATAAATTTTTTTTTAAAAAAAGGTTGGATAAATTTAGCAAGCAAACTACAATGATCAATCAAATATTTGGAGGTTACCTTAGAAGTAGAGGTATATAACATATATTTTACTAAATTATATGCATGTATATATGTGTGTGTTATATAGGGATATATATGTGTTATATAGGGATATGGATTCATAGATATTCATAATCTATCGATTATAGATCATTTACTTAGATTAAATTTAAATTTGAAAAATCTGATTTGGCTGGAAATTTATTCCAATATCTAATAGACAATAATATATATACCATTAGATTGGCGATTCCTTCATTAAATGCACTAAAAGTGTCCATGCATAAGAGCCAGCAGAGTTGTTAAAGTAGTGCACTATCTTTTTTGGTAGCTATAGCTAATAGCGGCTACTTTTTTAAAAATTATTTAATTTTTTAGCCCGCTACTTTTTTTAAAAATTTTAAAAAATATAATGAATGTAAGTATAAGCACGAAAATTTAAAAATAATACCATAATTAATTATAATTTTTATGATTTATTATTTAATTTTGAAATTGAAATATATTTTCAATTTGTAATTAATATTTTCAATTTGTATTATAAACATAAATCACCTGTTAATAATTTAAAATGGCATCGCATATGGATATCCAAATCGTTGAAAGTGATTCAGAGTCAGACAATGATATTAATGAAATGGAAGATACCAGGGAAGAAAATAATATTCATAGCAATACTTTCCCATTCCCTAGACTTCAAAAAATTTTCAAGATAAATATAACAAAAACTGGCTTCAAATTTATATGTTTAAAATGTAAAAAAAATATTTCCTCAAATCAATCCAGTAAACCTCAAGAAACACCTAAAGGTAAATTATCATTTTTACATAAAATAATAATATTTATCTTATAAGACTGTTCATGCTAATAGTTTTAAGAAAATTGACATTTAAATAAATTTGACATAGGTGAATCTACGTCCAAAAAGACTAATTCCATTCAGACAAAATTAATTAATAATACAAATGCTAATATTTCTCAGAAATTAACTGATAAAGTTATTGTGGATTTTATAATTGATACAGTTCAGCCAATGTCCTTGGTTGATAATCCTCATTTACTATGATGATTAAAACTTTATCACCTGGTAAATATATTTTATGTCACCAGACACTTGTGAATAAAATAGCAGATAAGTTTAAAGTGATGAAAGATGCTTTAATAGTAGAATTATCAGAAATATCTCATATATGTACCACGGCAGATAGTTGGACACATAACAGAAGGTAAACACTTATTTATATTTATAAATTGATCTGATTAAATATTTTTAGAGCTTATTTGGGAATCACAGGCCTTTGGCTAGACCCTAGGACTTTAAAAAGAAGATCAGTAGCATTAGCCCTCGAAAGAATAATAGGATGCCAGACATATGATGTATTTGCAAATAAAATTATTGACGTCCGCAAGTCTTTTAGGATTCATAATAAAGTTTACAAGATGGTGACCGATAATGGGTCCAATTAGCTGAAGGCTTCAATATTATAAATTAATTTTTAAAATATTTAGAGTAATAGAAATCAAGTAATAGTTAAGTTATTAATTAAATTTTTCAGTATTTATTTAAAAGTTGTTTAATATTTCACATTATATATAGAATTTTTATTAACTAAATACATACATATTTTAGTAATATTATATCATAATTTATATCAAATTATAAAAAAATTAGTGAATTTAACTAATAAAATTTACAACAGAGATGGATTATTTCATTAGTTTTTATTGCACAGTGTCATTGAGCTTAACATTTAATATGATATGGTTATTGAATATTTCATGGATGATTAGATTTTTACTATATTTATTTCTTATTGATTAATATCCATCAATTTATATACAGTACAGGGAATTCAATGTATTCATTTGATAAAATATTTTTACTTAGTTACATCATAATTCCTGAGGTTTAAAATTTGAATAGCAACCTAATGATTTTACCACTCCATTTTTGATAAATATCACTACACATTTCTATTAAAAACGGGATGAATAATTTATTCTATTTAATATGAATATAGAATATTTGGTGAGCATAATGCTGAAGGTGAGACACAGAGAGATTATTTAGTAAGGCAAAACTGATACTTTCTGATCGTAGCTCTAGACTTGGGGATGATAATATTGAAATGATTTTATTATTAAAATTCAACAAATTACCATAAATATTTAAAATTTATTACATAAATTTTTTTATAATCAAAATTAACTATATTTTAATATTTATAAATGTTGATTTTTATATATTATTTACTATACAATTACATTATATGCAAAATAAAAAAAAATTGTTTTTAAATTTTTTTTATAAAAAGTAGCCTAAAAGTAGCTAAAGCTACTTTTTTTTAACAATTAGCGTAGCGGTAGTGCGCTACAACTCTGGGAGCCTGCTCTATCACTGTTTTGTTGTTTGCATGTCGATTAAATGACATTAATGTGCATTCATATAATAGTAAAGACAATTAGTCAAAGTACAAACCCACAAAATGACGCTAGAGCTAACTCTAATGGATGAACACTTTTAACTTATAATTCATCAATCTCGTAGTATACATACATACATCATTGGTAATAGTGCATACACACTGAATTTTAGGCCATTTTGCATAGAATATTTTAAGTATTATTTTTAGTTTACATAAATTTTTATATAGATTTTTTCAGGGATCCAAACCGAAATAAATATCGGTTCGGGTTCAGGTTCGGATAAAAATAACGGTTCAAGGTTCAGGTTCTGTTCGTAAAAAATAAAATATCGGTTTGGTTCGAACCTCTAAAAACCTGTTTGAACACTTTTGTATTCAAATCTACATTCGAATTATGTACAGGGAAAATATTTTTTTATTTTATCATTAATTTAAAAAACACATGTATAAAACCTTCATTTATTAATTTCACATTATAAAATAATATATAATTTATAAATATAAAAATAAATATCTATGATTAATTTTAATATGAACAATATTTTACTTTTTTATACTTAAATTTTTTTTTATTAAGCCACACAATTAATATATTTACAAAATTCGTCTCACTCAAATTACATCTATAAGGAGATAGTATAAATTTAATGGTTGAAAAACATCTTTCCACATTAACTTGGATAGCCGGCACTGCCAATATGATATCAGATTTGATATGTCATTTTTAATAATATTTTGGGTTTAATTTTTCTCTGAGCATTATAATTTATAAGCTTGAAATCAGAGACCTGCAGAAGTACCATTTGTACGGCCCGGCCCGGATTTTTTTTCCAAAAATTTTTTACGGCCCGACCCGGGTTTAAAAATTTAAGGCCCGGCCCGAATATTTAAAAAAAAATTTTTGGGGCCCAGCCCGGCCTAGATTAAAAAAAAATTTTTTTAGGCCCGGCTCGGAATTTAAAATTATATTCGACCTGGTATATTCAAAAAATTTATTATCGTATTTTATCATATTTTTCGGCGAGTATTATCATTTAATAAGCAAGTATATTAGCTAATGTTGTTAAACGGCGCGTTTTGAGCCGATTTTTAAAAACGGCTAACTCAATATTTTTACCAGAAAAACATTGACTAAGCCTCGAAATTTCGATACTATATGTCTAGACCTTTGCTCCTTCTATGAGCAAAATTTTCAGGCTTGCATAATATTTTTCTGGATAAAAAACTTAGTTATAAAAATCGGCTCAAAACGAGCCGTTTAACAACACTAAATATTTTATTTATTTTTATTCTTAACAGATATTTAGTATATATTACAAATACTATGTATTTATAAAAAAAATAAAAATGATATTTTTAATAAAAAATATAACATATATATTATATATTATATAATAATGTATTTAATCCTTTGCGTATTTATTCCATGGCAGGAAAACTATAATTTTATTATGTAATAGATACTATGAGTGTTAGCTATAGTGTTAACTTTCACCAAACATTATATTAATCATAACTATATATAATCATTATAACCATATCTAATTGACGAATATAATAATTCATGTTGTATAAATTTTTAAAAAAAACGGCCCGGCCCTGCCCGGGTATTTCTAAAAAAAAATTTTCAGGCCCGGCTTGGGTTTTTTTTAAAAAAAATTTTCAGGCTCGGCCCGGGTATATTTTAAAAATTTAAAATACTGCCCGGCCCTGGTACCCGGGCCGGGCCTGCAGGTCTCTGCTTAAAATATTTAAAAAATGTAAAATGACAATATACTAAAGTTTATAAAAATTAGGAACGACACTTATAATCAAATGGATTGATGATAATCTTTTTTAAAATAATTCAAATATAATTGAAATTTTTTCAATATTCTAATAATAACTTTCGAACCGGTTCAGAGGTATTTTAGCGGTACGGTTCAGGTTCAGCTAGAATTTTTTTAGCGGTTTAGGTTCGGTTCAGGTTCGATAAAAAATACCGGGTTTTAGAGGTTTAACGGTTCAGGTTCGGTATGGATCGCTGGATTCTTTTCATATGAACAAAAAAAATGCACAAAAAGCTTATAACGGAAATCGTCTAAAATTTATAGGGTAGTATATACTATACACTTGCTGGAATGCATTTACGATCAAATCAGATTTTTTTGAAATTTAAAAATCCAGCAGTCATTGATTTAAAAATAAATTTCGAATCCCTTATACAAAATATGTCTTTAAAAAAGTATATTATTTTAAAATGTTTTATTTACTTCTTACACATAAAAGATTTTTTTTAAGAAGATCAAAATGATTTTTTAAAAAATATTTGTGATTGGATTTCAATCATGAATGATATTATTTTATGTGTAAAAAAAATCATAAAAGATTTGCTTATAAATGATTTCTTTTGCAAAGAGGATTTGGAATTTTTAAGGTAAAATTTAATCAGTTGAGCATTTTCAAAGAAATAATCTTCCTTTAATAAAAAATCTTCATAGATCAAAATCCTTGGAGATTTTTTATTTTGAAAAATAGCACATCAAAATCTCTGCAAATTTATTTATATTCGGTAGTGTTGTTAAACGGCTCGATTGAAACAATTTATAAAAACGGTTATCTAAATTGTTTATTCAATTATCACGCAAGTCTGAACATTTTGCTCACAGATGGCACAAATGTTTGGATATCTATTAGCGACATAATGAGGCTTAGACAATATTTTCGCGACTAAAATAATAAGTTTGCCGTTTTTAATAGTCAGTTCAAATTGAGCTGTTTAACAACACTTAAAGTAATGATTATATATTTTTAAGTTCATTGTTGATATATATTATTTGCCATCTTTGTTAATCATCCATTCAAATCAATTTTGATATTTCGTCAGCAGAGTATTATAGTGTTCCATATCCACAAATGAAAAATTTTTTAAAAATGGATATAGAACATTACAATACTCAGCTGACAATTTGTTATAGGCATTATTTTTCCACAGTAAAAAGAACAACTTATGAAAATCAACTATTTCTATTAACTCTTTTTTTTAAACAATATAATCCATATTTTAATTTTATATATATAATTTTCGAATTAAAGTTATATGTAAGATGTGCCAAAAGCCTTCGGACTGTTATGACCCATTTGTTGATATAAGCCTTGATGTTAAAGTAATATTTATAATCGATTTTTTTTTGACAGATTGATTAGGGGTTTTTTTTGGTTCATAATGATCAAAATATTTAATTATATTTATTATCATGAAAAACGTTAATTTTATTAAAATGCTTATATGGTGACTATCACAATCATCTAAATAAACCCAAAGTTTACAAGTTCATAAATGTGGTCATGTAAGCAGAACTGCTTGTGTTGGAATCGTAGTTATTAAGCCGTTTCTACTGTTTTGATTACATTTACTAAATTGCTTTGGCAGTTTCTGCCCCCCCCCACTCCCAAATTGGGTTATAGAGTTTATTCATACTTAAAACGAATTTATTTTTCTTTCCACGATATTCGATGTCCCATTATTATATTCCAAGTGTTGATAAATCTCTCGATTTGAGCAGATCTTTAAAAATGCCCAACTCAATATTGTGTCCAAAAAAATATTACGTTTAAGTCCGAAGATTTTGCTAATGGATGCCACTTTTTTTTCGAATTAGACTCCTTTTTTTTAAAGCTTGCCTTAACTTAGATCTTATATTGATATTAGTTAAAGTAGTGTTTGGACCCATCTTTGCTGTACTAGAGGACTTTGTATTTATCATATTTTTCTACCTTTAAATCCCAATAAAATCAGTGATTTCCTCATTTATTTATTTTTACCCTAATTCAGTATCCTCCTACTTGTAACTTAATAAGTTCTTGGGCAATTATGAAAAAAGCATTAGACATGTAATGGAAGCTGGGAAATTTCTAATTTTTCTAGAATATTAATGGGAAAATAAATAATTCCTTCTACATACCAATCTTTGATATACTTTTTTTTGATGAAATATCAGATAAATATAAATAGAAAATTGTTATATTTTACTTTAATTTATCATTAAATTAAAAATAAATTATAAAACCTCTTAAGTATTATCTTACTGATTAAAAAAATTATAAAGACATTATTATCTGCAAATTTATTTTTCGCTATCTGCTTTGCAAACCATTTTCCTTCCTTCCACACACTTCGGGTCTTTTGCGAAACCCTACCTTTATTCCTGCTTTTTTTTGCTATTGATTTCTAATATTTCATTTTGATTCCTTATATTTCACCTTGTTTCCTTATATTTCACCTTGTTTCCTTGTATCTATCATTATCCTCTTTACTATCATAACATTATTTATAACACCTCGATTTCTTCCACAGTTTTAGTGAACCTCCCCCACAACTTATCTCCTTGTGTCTAATGAACAATTGATAAATAGGTATTTAGTAGTGTAGTTTATATGGTTCGATTTTTAAAAACAGCTTACCCAGTATTTTAGCCAAAAAATTGTGCAAGTCTGGAAATCTCATAGAGGGCAGAAAGGTTTGGGCATCTATTAACGAAATATCGAGGCTTGCGTAATGTTATTTTGACTATAATCTTAATTTAAAAATATGCTAAATTGGGCGGTTTAACAACATTGGTATTTAGTAGATGGGAGGAAAACAAACTTAGATTAGGGGCAGACTCCAACTTCAAGGTAATATCTAATCTAGGATACTATTTGGGAGTTTTAAATGGAGTAGCTGTACGATACTTTTTAGTATAATAGTTGAAATATATAGAAAAAAAGGTAAACTTCAATTTTTCACGATATATCGATCATAATTAAATATTTATTTTATTTTACAGGGAACTTTTAATCTAAATGTGGCACTCAAACGATTTATAGCTCCCGAAATAATTCAAAACGAAAATGCTTACAAATGTGAAGAGTAAGCACATATTTTTTTTGCCATTATTTTTCTTCACTTAAAATTTTTTCTTTACAGTCCATAAGAAATGAGTTCTTATATTTTATTTATAATATTTCACATGCAATGCGAAAAAAATGTAACATAACATTAAGCCATAGGATGGGCAAATTAAAAAAAATATTTAGATAATAAATACTCTTTAAATAGAGGTATTTAAGAGAATGTATTTAAAAATAAAACACAATTAAATTAGAAATTTATTTAAGTGTGTTTTATGAGACAATCAACATATATTTCTGAGAAAACGCAAATGAAAGAAAGAAAGAAAAAAAAAGAAAAGATAGAAGAAAGAAAACTCTTTAAATAGAGGTATTTAAGATACAGATACAAACTCTTTCAAATAGCTCAATAAAATACAAGATACAAATACTTGATAAATTAAAAAAAAGTAGGGCTGTGCCTATCCACAATTTTTTTTACCGATCCGTTATTTATATTGATTTTTATTTACCATCTATCTTTGTATCAATGTCATAAACATTTAAATAAATTTTCTACTTTAAGAAAAACCAACTAACTTTCATGATTAAGTTTATTTATTTTTTTTATTATCCATAAGTTAATATTCTCATTTAAAATATTTGCAATATTTATGGATGAATGTAGTGTTTTTAAACAGTTCCATTAAGCCGATTTTTAAAAAGGGCCAAATCCAAATTTTAACTAAAATATTATTACTTATTTTGCCAACAGAAATCTAAACCCTTCTCCTATGGGGAAAATCAATAAGCGTGAGTATTTTACTCTTGGCCAAAATTTTGTGTTAAACGTTTTTAAAATTGGCTAAATCGAGCCGTTTATCAACACTAACTAAATGTTACTCGTTAGATATTTTAAAATCCTTTTCTTTTTGCAGATAATATAACAACAAATAGTGTTAAATTTTAAACATTAAGAAGTAAATTTTATATTAGTTTCTTTCATTAGTTTATTATTTGTGATTGCGTATTAAAAATACCTGGCTGAAAATAAGTTCACCCTAATTATATTATTTATGAAATAAAATAAATTATATGATTATATATTTAATTAGAAAATAACCAAAAATAATAAAAAATATCAGATCGGTTTTTTAAAAAAGATCGGCCCGACCCGATATTTTTTGAAAACGTCAAATATCGGTGCCGATCTTACCCGATATTAAATATCGGCACAGCCCTAAAAAAGTATTAAAGATATTTAAAATAATTGACATAATGTGAAACTTTATATTTTTAAATGTATTTAAAAATTAAGACATATGCCAAACAAAACATTTTATTTACATTTCACTTAATATAATTTTATAGAAATTAATAACTAAATATACTATTATTTGATTGTTGTTTTTTTATATGCCTATTAACAAGATTTGCAAAGCTAAATTGTCTTTTAACTATTGCTGTAAAAGGCAACATATTATAATTTAAAATGTATGTTCCTGGTATCAAGAAAATCTTCTTTAATATATGTAAATGCTTCCAGTTCTATTTCATTAGCTTCATTATTTTTATAAGGTATATTATGAAAACAAAAATTTGAAAAGGATTAATTTGGAGACTGGTCAATGAATTATCCTTGTCCTTAAAAATAGCAAACATCAGGCTGTTGATTTTAAAACATTTTTTTATCATCAGTAATCCATCTAATTTTAAAATAAGGATTTGAAATGGTGCTAAAAAACAATCTTATTCATCCAAATTTCGGTTATAACAAGTGGTAAGCGAAAACGTAAATCTGTTTGATAAATCATGTATACTTTGTTTATAACAAATAAAATTTGGATCCAATTCTTATGATAGCTATTATTTCTGCAGTTAATAGTATTGCTAGGGTTCATTGCTTTAGAATATTCCTCAGAATTATCTTTAAGCTATTATTGGTGTTGTATTGAAGCAGAAAACTAGAAACATTTTATCTATATATTAATTTTTATTATTAATTATATATTACCATGAAAAAATTAGAACAAATTATAAGATATCTTGGATGTTATAATTATTGGTGGGAAATTTAAAAAAAAGATTAATAGTTTAACTCATTTATATATATTTCTTTTTAAATTATGTAAACATTTAAATATATCGAAAGATAATTAAAAATTGAAAGTACCTACCTGTATCTTTTGCATCTTAAATAGTAAAAGATACAGATACCCATTTAAAAAAGTATTTAAGATATAGAGATTCTTTTTCAAAATGCACAAAAAGATACAAGTATTTGCTATACTTGAATACGCCTCTCAGTTTAATGAAAGTCTTAGAGTTTCTGCCCTGGATTACTTATTTCACACTGTATTTAAAAAATGTTAAATTTAAATGCCAAAAGTCATTTTTCTATCTTTTAAACATTGGAAGTGATTTAAACGCAGAGTTAAGTAAGTGGCTTGACCTTAGAGACCTATGCGCCTTTAACCTAGTCAAAGCTCAGCGGTTTATCATCACAAATTAGTCTCCTTGAGGGGCTAAAAATAAATTTGTGATAAAATTTCAACTTTAGGAGGTTCCATTTTCCAAATGAAACGAGAATACCTTGCATTTATGATTATTGTTTACGGAAAAGTTGTTGTAACTTATCTTGAATTGACTAATTATTTGTAGACAAATGGTTATGTCTTTAGTTGCGTAATGGTTATTGGTGAATTCGGCACATTCCACAGCGTGCCTGAGAAAATCCGCTCATCGAGAGAATTGATTTATTTACTATTTAAAAAATATTCTCAGGCTGAGTTAATGTTTTACCCATTTGGCATATAAATGGAACAACTACCCAACTATAGCCATGCCCTAAATTGATTAAAAGCAATTTAAATTCTATTTCTATATTTATTTATTTTTTAAAGTAGCTTTTTACTTTAAAAATATAGTGGGCGACTCCCCAATTTTTTTTTGTTACGAATCTACCACAACTTAATTATTGTACAGATTGAACTCCTCTACTATGCTTGCTAGTCACTGTGCTACCTTGATTCAAACATTTATTTTAAATATTAGCAATTTATTTATTTTATATTGATATTATTTAGATGCAAGAGGAAAGTTCCGGCCCAAAAATGCGTCACCATCCATAGACCCCCTCGCGTTGGTGTTTTCCACCTCAAACGATTTACCGCCTCGGGCAATAAAATTACCCATTTTTTTGAATACCCCGAAAGGCTCGATATGACGCCTTATCTTAGTCATGATTGCAAAGTGAGTTTCAAAATGTTGTCTTGTCTTGATTTTAGTATTCTCATAAAATAATTCATAAATAAGTTTTATTCATGGAGGGGGGAGGGTACTGATTTTCCGACATTTTTTTGCTATTACTTATACAAATTTTTTAGAAGAATAATAATTTTAGTATTTTTACATTTTTAAATGTTTGAACTTATCATTTTTTATAGGAGCAGGCGAGTAATGACTTAGTTATTAACATGCACTATCGACTTTACGCTGTTTTGGTGCACAGCGGCTATTCGACCAATTACGGCCACTATTTTTGCTATTGCAAAGCCCAAAATGGATTTTGGTATCGGATGGACGATGCTAATGTAAAATTTTGTTTTTACTTCTTTTTTTAACTATTGTGTTTGATTTACCATAGGCATTAATTAATCACTCGATTTTAAAATAACCTATATATAAAAATTTTGTAAATTTGGCTAGAAAAAGTATTTAATTTTTTAAAAATATCAAGTTTCCTTACGTTTTCTCATTTTTAAGCCTTTTTAAAATTTATAGTATCTTGAAGCAAAAAATTTTTTTAATCGGGTTATGGTACGTTAAAAAAAATTGTAACTCATTTTTCCATACATTGTCAAAATTATGAATTTTTAAAATGGCCGCATGGGAATTGGAGGGTCTACTCCAACAAATGTCGACTAAAAAATTTTTTTCCTTAACGATACCGTGAGAATCGGGGCATCTTTAGCCATCCTAATAGCTTTTATTATAATTATGTTTTTGCCACCATTTTTAAAAAATCTAGTTAGTAGTCACCTGATTTAAAAACTACCGTTTGTTTTTTGTTGTTATTTTCTAGTTTCGATTTGTCCTTATAATTATATTACATCTCTTTTTAAATGTATACTCTTATTATCACAAATATATTTTTTTAGGTAACCCAAACGTCTTTACAGAAAGTTCTTAGCCAGGAAGCCTACATATTATTCTACATTCAGGAAGACAACGACATCAAAAACTTCCATAATAACAAGGTTTTCATCTGTCATGAATGTTTTGATAGGACTTTATAAATTATATTTAAATAATTTAAAAAGTTTACACCATCTTCATGTTCAATAATTTTTTGGCCACCATTTAAAAAAAAATAACACAAATTTTATTAAATATTTTTCCGATTACTAGGCTCACCCAAATCACATTCTATCTAATGGCGTCGCCTCATCAATCTTTTACAAAAATCAAAGCTCAATTCAAAACAATACAAATAGTATCAAAGCACGCCAAGATATTAATAATAATAGTATACTAGGACCTAGTTCAAACGATGTTGCTACCAAATCACATCTTGATATCGGTGCTAACTCAAATGATATGGCCATTAAATCACCCCTTAATAATCGCGAGATAAAATATGGCAGTCAGTCTAATTTAAGGCACGCCAGTTTAAATGGTAAATATTTTGTATTATGATCACTTAAAATTTTTTTTAAATGTTATTCCATTTACTTCTTTTTTTTTAAAAAAATTACCTTCACCTTGAAAATCAATTTTTTTTTATTCAGATAATTTGAAACCTAAAATAATTAATGGGTTAACTCACATGCTAGTTCCTTACCCGGAATCGCCACCAACTCCTAACTTGGAGAATTTGAAGAATCTTAACCCAACTTCTAACTCGAAAATGCCGTCGAATAACATGGATGAGACGACTAGTAACGATAAATCAAACGGGACCAATAAAAAATGGAAAGATTTTAATTCCAAGTATAACTCATTGGCCGCTTCCTTCGGCATCAACAGATCTTCGACCAGTCATTCAAATGGCAACGATAATCAGAATTATGGTGCAGCTACTGAAAAATTGACAAATACACCGAACCCCGCCAAACATTCCAAGATTAGTTTTAGTTTATTTAGCGGTAAAAGTCCAGTTTTAGCCATTACGCCATTCAAAAATAATAGTAGTAATTCATCAAAAGTTTCTACCACATCTCTCGACCAATCGAGTTCCGCGAAAGTCGATAATACCCCCAGCGAAAATAATTTCAATCTAAATAATAATGATTCTAATAATATTAATAACGACACGCTGTCAAATGAAGAGCTCGGTAAGAGGGTACACGGAAATCTTAAAATTATTATTAAGAAAAAGAACCAAATTGACAATTCTCGTTGCACGTCCTATATCGCGGAATTGTGTGATGATAATAATCATATACCTTCAAAATCTCAACCGAACTCTACAAAAGTTATTATGAACACGAACAGAAAGTCTTCTAATGAACCCATCGATACTACTGAATCTATCACTAATCTCGAACCGATTTTAGACCAATCGGCTAAAATCCTGGACTCAAGTACTAGAACCAATTCAAACGATTCAGAGCTTTATAAACGCAAACACTCGCGACGTCATAGAGACCATAAAAATCGCCACAAGGAACATAAAAACCGGGAGAAAAAATTGCGCATAGAAATCAACAATGGAAAAAGTCTTTTAAGTGGTTCTAGCACCAACTCAAATAAACACCCCCCAAAATCGGAATTAGGAGTTAGATTATCGCAAACGTTAAACAATGGATTGGAAGACTGTGAAGATGAACGGAAGAAGCCTCACAAACATAAAAAGAAGAAAAGAAAACGTAGTAGAGAAAGACTGGTCGACAGTTCTAGGATACGTGCTGCTGCGAATGACGAAATAGTTGATAATCGTAAAATCGAAAACCTCGATCAGCTGACAAACAACGTTAGGTCAGATGATGGTAAGAAGGATACTAAAAATATGATCGCGACAATTGTTAATGCTGCCGACAGCGAAAAAAATAATCAAACTCAAGGGGCCTCGTCCCTGTATACATTTCCATTCAAGAAGGACGTTAAACCAACAAGTTTTTTTTAAAAAAATTTGAAAGTTTAAATGATATATATAAAATTACATTGTAATTAGGACACCAAAATCCATGAGCAAATGTGTTCTCATATTTTAAATCAGTTGCTGGAAGTAATTTTTAAACATGTAAAATCCAAAGTATATACCAGCAGGCTTGAAGTAACTTACCTTATAAATTTCACACTTTTTCTGTGGAAATTTTGTATATTTTTCAGAGACCCATACGTACCATTTATACGGCCAGGCCAGGATTTTATATTTTCCTAGCCCGGATTTTTTAATGAATATTTAAAATATTATGTTTAAAAAAAAATTCGGCTTGGGCCTGATGTATCTAAAAAATTAAAATAAGGCTCGGCCCGTGTACCAAGGTAAGGTTTAGGGCCTGCAGGTCTCTGATATTTTTAAAAATGTTTACGAAAAATCAATGTAGAAAATAATAGTTCAAAAGTTTATATCAAAATAGTCCCACATTCTCGATGTGAGTATGGGTGGAGTATATTTTCGATCAAATCAGAATTTTTTTAATAAGTTCCCTCAGTTAAAATGCAGAGTTTCCAAATTTCCTGAAGATTCCTTATATTTCAATAAATATGGCATGTCATCGGCCTAATATTATAGTGTTCTATATCATTTTCGAAATTTTTCATTAGAGCTTTAAAAAAAGTTTCTTGTATTTTAAATAGGAGATAACGCCTAAACAATTCAAATAATGGATTATATCCTAAATTATATTTTAATATTTTTTATGATAATTTGGAAGAATTATGCTAACTGAAGAATTACGCTAACTAAAGAGTTGATTTAATCGAAAAAATATGGATATGGAATACTAAAACTAATACTAAGTCAGCGATGTATATATTTATATAGTAATTATATCATTCTTTATAAAATTGCTACAGACACAATGCATTATAATAACGCCGCTGATATCATTACAAATTCTACTCATTCGCCCGTTACAAATTTCGATAAAAATCAATCGTTAAAATTATACCTATCGCAGAATAAACTGAGCCCATATTCCAAAAATTTTGGTTCTAACAGGAACAAAGGTTTGTATTATATTATAAATATTTTTAATGAATTATATAACAACATTATATCGTCTCTTATTACAATTTCGAAAGTATAAATGGCTAAATTAAATTCATTAGTTGTTAAATCATTAAACTTTGGTTACGATAATCCTGAAAAATTGGTCTTAAATCTTCAAGTTGAGGCTAAGCTTAGAAGTTTAAGTTTATTTTTTTTAGGCTAAGATTGATTAGGCCGTATTGTAGTTGGCGATAGTTAGGTGTTTTAACATCTCTAAAATTTATCATATCAAAGAATATACCGCCTTAATAAGGGGGAGGGGGGTTGATTTGAACATGTGATCGAAATTAAAATAATTTTAAATTTGCAAACAAGGGTGTCATCCCCCCTTTTCCCTTTTGAGTAAATTGCTTTATTAATCATAAATAATTATCTACAACAAAATAAAGTAAGGGCTAGAGAATCACGCTATTCTTGTCAGATATTTGACCTGTTGATGGTTAATATTGCTACTTTAACCGACTAAAGATAGTAAAGTTTTAAATGGAAGATAAGGTAAGATGATATGAGATAGCTATTAGATTTTAATATTTAAGATGAAAAATTTCAAAAGGTAAATTATTTTTTCAAGTCTTTCATACGTCCATTTTCTACCCTTAACAAAAAATAGCTCACAACATTCCAATTTTACAAACGTTGATATCACTTTTTGTTTATTATGATAAAAAAAATATAATTTATATTTGGCATTTAATGACTTTGGCCTAGTTTAATAAATTGAAATATCTGGCAAAAATATAAATATGCCAAAATGTCATAGGCGGCCATTATGGAAAGTTTATTTTATATTCATATTTAATTAAGCAAGCTTTACAAAAAAATATAGTTGTAATTTCAAAAAAAAATCTAAAGTTAGAACATTGGAAGATCTAAATAACAACCCAACCGAAGCTGCGGATAATATTTTCAACTCGTCTTATAATAACAAAATTAACCAGGTTATTATTATTATGCGTTTTCATAAATTCTATAAAATTTGAGAATTTTTTTATACAACTAATTCCACATTTATAAAATGGTTCCCGTTTTAAATCGCTAAAAAAAATGGGAAATCTCCATTACTCTCCTAGAATTTTTTTTTAATAGTAATATTGAAAATAATATTAACAGATGGTAGGAAAGTTTATTCCCTGAGGTTTTTTTTAAAAAAAAAATCCTCCATTTTTAATGATTTTTTTAAAAACTCAATTAAAAGTGTTTGCTTCCCTAGAATCCATTAATATTATTTCTAATATAAAAATTCTAGAAAATTTTAGTGAGATTCCCGATAAAATATTTTATTTTAATTATTACAATTATACCAAGTTATTAATGTTTCTCCAAAAATCAATAAATTTTAAGAACTTTCCCTCCTTTCATTTTTTTAAAAAATAATGATAAATATGCTTTAACCAATAAAGAGGGGATTTTGTTTTCTTATTCTTGACAGGAAACATTTTTTTAAAAAAAATACTCTCCTAAAAAATGGAGAGGGGGGGGGGTGGATATAGAACACTATATTACTTATCCGACGAATATGTAAATTGAATTTTTATTTGAAGTAATAAATGAACTTTTTTAAATAAATTATTTTATATATTTTAAATATAAAAAAAGCCCAAAAAATTTAGACGCAATTATTCGTTCAACGATCTGAACGGAAACGCAAATCGCCACTCAAAATCTTCGAATAAAGAAAAAACTTTATTTATTTTTCCTAAAAATCCGTTTCAATCCTTTTTAGATAACAAATTGAAATAAATTTTCTCGACAGATAGCTTTTAGAGATGTATATATGTTTTCATTCATTCATTGTTACGCGATTTTGAAACATTGCTAAGTTTTCTTTTTCAAAAAAATAAATATATTACATATTTCAATTTGTAATTTATATTATATTTATTCAAACCCGACACTGATTTATGCTATGTTATGATATGATAATATATTTAAATAATTACGTTTCAAAATACATCCCCCCAAAAAATATAATATTTATCTGCAAAAAAATTTGAAGTTATTTTTTAATGTACACAATTTCTTACCCATTTTTTTATTAGCAATTTAAAAAATTATCATTTATTTTCGTAACGAATATTTTGTTTTGTAATATGAAAGAAAATACATATTTCTAAAAAAAACGTAAAATTATGAATAAAAGCATAAAAGATTATGTTTCAATAAAATTAAGAGAAAAAAACCATTAATATCAAAATGTATTATTTTAAAGTTGTATTTAAATTATGATTTATAGATGAAGAGGGCAATATTTAAATATTCCGCTTGATCATACTCTCATATATATCCATGCACAAATTAAGCAAAGTACATCTTGACATGAAAGGGAAATCGTGCTTGGCTTTGATCGTTTCTGATACTGCTGCTTGTGCCGCGTCTATACTACCTCTTTTGGCAAACATAGCCGGTTGGGACATAAGCGGATCTATTTTTAACAATATTAAAATTATGGCAAATTGATAAATTGATAACCATTGGGTTGATACAAATATCTTACATTTTTTTGCAGCAGTATGTTTTATTAAAAAGTTCCTAAATTAATTTTGATTAAATGTCTTAGTTAAAAAAGGATAAAAGTGGATATTCGGCAGGAGTCTCAGCTTCATTAGCCTAGAGGGGTCTAGAGAGCATTGTAACTATCCATGCATTTAACTTTGATATATGCCTATTCAAAAAAACGAATATTCGTTTCGAATGATTCGAATCCAGTATAAATTGTTTTGTTCAAATAATTTGATCGAATATTATTTTATTAATTATTCATAATAATTATCAATATGTTTTTTAATAAAATTTAAAATTTGTTATTCCTATGGATAACCTATCAATTTGATAGGTGATATGATTAACAATGTATAGATCGACTACTCGTGAAAGTCATTTCTTAGTTGGAACCACCTCTCTTATAAAGAAACTGAGAAAAACTGCCTTAAAAATTGGCTTGGCATTATAAATTAAATTAATATGCATTTTAATTTCGTTACTAACCTAATCGTATGTTTATCAGATTTTTATAATAATTTGAATTAATATAGCAGAATATCTTTAAAAAAACTTAATGGAATACGAATGATAAATTATTCAATCCGTTTAAACGAACAATGCTATTAGCTTAATTATGAATTAATAGTATCAGATGACTGAATGATGAAGTTGTGTAAGCCTCATCTACGATATTATATCACCAAACCTAAAACATTACCTTGTAAATCATTTAAAGTGCATTATTAAAAAAAAAGGATGCAAATAATGTTTGTCTATCAATGTATACCAATTACATTATTGATTTTAAAGATGCACATACATTGAAGTCTGCTGTAACTGTCACTGGCTGTAATAGACCATCTAAATACCTTTAAATAGCGGACTTCAATTTACTTCATTTTTTAAATATATTTTAATGAACGTTGATGTGAACATAAAATGAGATTTATTCAAAATACCTCCTTAACTGTGCATCCATTTAAATTTAATTTAACAACTTATTTTATTATATAGTAATAGTATAATCACGGTGAGAAAAGATTAGAAGCGTTAGGTGATAAGGAATGAGGATAGAAGCGATAGGTGATGCCTTGAGGAGAAATAGGGTTTGACATGTTGAACAGAAGTCGGAAGATCTATTGGATGAACAGATGTCGTCTGTTTGAACAAGAGGGCGATCAATCAAATACAAAATGAATAAAATTGCAGATAACACAAATTTTAGGTTCATGGGCGATGCCCGGGTGCGCGGGACATGGAGCAAGATGATTAGAAGGGAAACTGGCCTATCCGGGGGAACATAAAAAAGGTTCACTAAACAAAAAGAAGTTACCTAATATAGGTAACTCACATTTTTATTAATGCTTATATTTTAAATTAACATCAACCTTTCGCAATAAAAGATACGATTTTAATAAAAAAAAAATTATAATGGTTCAAAAAATATTAAGGATAATTTAAAATAATATCAATAAATAGATCTTTAAAACTCGTTCTACAGTTGAATCTATGAATTATCATACTTGCAACCAAATATGGAAATTAAAGTGCTAGACAATACTCACTTTAAAGGATATCTAGATATAATTCTTGTGAAGATGCTATAAGAAACGAAGAAAATGTAAAAAAAACTAGGGCATAGAATAGATTGTAGTTCTAAATAATTTTTTATATTCTTACTGTTAAAATCAATCGAATCTTTCAGAAATTACACAAAATTTATGTGAAATATTACTATTCATCATAGGCATTCCAGACATATAGGAAGGTGGTCCCATAATTCCGGGCAAAGGTGGCGGAAACATAGAAGTCGTTTGCATATAGTTCGTTTGCATGGTTTGCACTTAAAATATCAATAATAAAAATAAAATAATGTTAAAATTTGATATTTTGTAAAGAACCTTAAATAAAATCTAAAAAAAAAAATATTAGTTAAAGGAATATCTAGTTGTGGCCAAAACAGAATACTGGTTAGGAAAGATCAAAATCTTGTGAGATATCCTTATTGTGGAGAATTTAACTTAACCAAGATATTTAAAAAAGGGGTGTCAAAATTTATAACTGCTTATCCCATGGCGCATTGCATTATTGAAATATTTAAGGGGGAAAGGAGCCTCTTAGTATAAACGTAGTCAGTATTATAGAGACGAATTTTTTTTCGATTTCTACCACAGTCCTTATGGCAAATATTATCGATATATTATCTACCAATATTTCTGTAGGGTTATTTGAATTAGTTCACATTTGAATTTTATTTATTTTATTTTTATGACATTCTCAGTAAAATAATATACATATTTTCACGTATGATAGAAATAATTTAAGGAGTTATAAATAAAAAATGCTTAAAATATAATTAATAAATCCTGACGGTAAATTGTTTATTAAACGATAAAATAATCCTAAAACCTAAATTATTGTTCGCATTGCTCTCTTCCTTCATTTTTACTCTAAATGATTTGAATTTTTTTTAAAAAAATCATACATACCCAAATTTGAATTATAATCAATATTATACACTATCAAATAACCTTGATGTCAAAAAATTTAGACCATACTCATAACCTATAAATTTAACATTTTGAATATGTCAAAATTCATAAAATATTTTAAAAAACAATCATATATTTAAAGAATGTGAGAATCAATTATTAATTTTAAAAAAAACCCATATCATAATGTCAAAAACTCTTATTTTTATCTTTATATCTGATTTAACAAATAGATTATGGGATCGTTTAAAATATAAAATATTTATATAGGTAATGAATACACGAACCAATTTCGTCAAATTTTGATTTTTGCTTTTTATGTTAAAAAAAACAGTTTTGTAAACTTAAGCATTTCATAAAATTCTTTATACAAAACTATCTGCCTCAGTCATAACATTTAATTTAATTTGATATAATAAAATATAATTTTTTTTATATTAGTTAGTAATAAATAATTAATGAAATTGCATAGTATTTTTTTTATAAGTGTAATCACTAAAAAAATAGTTATTAAAATGATTATAAATTTAAAGTGCAAATGTTATCATTTTATTTCATTATTATTCACATTAAATTATGATAAAAAAAATCCTTACAATCAAAATAATTGTAAAACTTATAAATTTTAAAAAAATAATATGTTGCTCATTTTAAATTTTAATTACACATTTCTGCAGGCCCCGAGCCAATTCAAACCCCACTTCCATCGGGCCGAATTTTTTAATTTAAAATACTAGCTCTACATACTTCCAATAATAGCCAAAATTATTTAAAATAACCAAAAAAAAATGGGCTTTGCCCGTAAAATAATTTAAAAAAATAATAAAGCCGTAACAATTTTAAAAAAAAAATCAGAACAGGACATAAATATGGTAGGTCTTTGTTTTGGTCCAACTTCTTCTTTAACCCTGCATTATTTAAAACGTTTTTAAATGTTAAAATAGATAGAAGACTCTCCTTTAACATTGCAAGCATTTAAAATGCGATGTTAAGTTGAAGTAGGACCAGGTTTAAAAATCATATCAAATAATTATTAAATTTATTGGTAACTGGTTAACACAATAGGATTCAGAATATATATTAAGTCATGCTCCAACGGTGAATGACAATGGATCTTATGAATAGTTTTAAATAAAGTAGATTGATTTCAAAACTATTATTTTTTGTTGATAGGTTTATTACTCTTTTTCGACTTAAAAATTTAAAAAAAGTACACTCACTCTCCGAAAGAGCACGAAAAATCGAAGACACGAATGGGAGAAATATATTTTTGATTGATAAATATGAGTATTTTTTTGACATTTTCTTCTCTCCGCTATTTTCTTAGTGGATCATAATTGTTATGAGAGAGGGTAAGAAAATGTTTTTATAGGCAAAGTTAATAGCATGGCTCTATATCCTTTATATTTAACTTAAATATACATAAATTTTAAAAATATAATAGAATTCCAAGCGAAATGTCTTGCAATTTTTAAAAAAAAAATTGTTAATTGATTGTCATTTACATCAAGAAAATTCCAACCTGGGCCTAAAAAAATACAAAATAGATCATAAATGGTGTTTTAATCATGAATATCATAAATGGTGTTTTATTTATAAATGGTATTTTAGTAATCATAAATGGTGTTTTACATAAATGGTGTTTTTAATTGTAAATGAATCATATATGATATTTTAGTCATAAATGGTATTTTAAATCATAAATGGTGTTTAGATCATAAATATTTGATAGATAGATATATATATTTTAATAAAATAAAGTGCTCTGTCAAGCTTAAGGTATATATCATTACATTATTTAAAATTTCGAAATAATTTTTTGCTAAACGGCTTCGATTTGAGCTGTTTGAAAACGTCTAACTCAATATTTTAGCCAGAGCCTAAGCACTCAAAATTTTGCTGATAGATGTCCAAACCTTTATGACATCTATGAGCAAAATTTTTATGCTTACCTAATATTTTCCTGGGAAAAGTAATGAGTTAGCCGTTTTTAAAAGTGGGCTCAAATCTAGTCGTTGCAACATCACTCGAAATACTTAAAATAATACTTTATTTCAGGTTTGTATAGAGGATAATAATAACTAACTTCCACCAGGATATGGTTGAATAGGCATTCCGATATTCCCACCCATTCCTCCTGGAAACATAGGCGGCGCTCCATAGTAAGGGGAGGGTCCTCCTTGCATCACTAGAAATATAAAGAAATATTAATTTCTAAATTTAACATTTTATTTATTTTTTTTACTCTTTTTTTTGTGAGTTTATTATTATTCAGAATTTAGAACGAATAGGGAGTGAATGTTGATATAAAGAACATATATTTTTCTTAAAAAAATTATGATGATTTTCAAGACTTAGAAAGGTAACAATCATTTATGCGTAATTTAATTTGATTCTTAAATTTCATCTATATTTTTTTACGAAATTTGAAAGAGAGTTTTTGTTGTTAATTTTGCGTTTCTAGATTTAACAAGATATTTTCGTTTGTTTTGTGTTTTTTTTATAATTGTCCACTTTAACCCTGAATTCATAGTTAACGCGACAATATATGCTCTTTTCTATTATTTGGCTTGAATTCGCGCTAACTGAATTTAAGGTTACTCTACAACAAAACATATCTCCCCTATATTCAGCAATTGCCAATGCGTTGGGCACTCATAAGTATCTATTTGATTTTATTGATGAGCCAAAAATATGTATCTAATTTATTTTCAGATAACTACAAAACTTTAGTCCCTATATAGTTCTGATGAAATAACATAGAACATATTAGTTGCCTAATCTATACCAACCTTAGTAGGCAAACCGTAACCAGCCTCGGGAAAATTTTATGAAAAGAGTTATATTTTATTTATTTATTATTCTAAACCTAACCAACATCACATCTTAGCTTAGTTTAAAATCAATAAAATTGTAAGGTGTGCATAATAATGTCAAGATTTTTGGAATCTATTTTAAACTTAGATTTTGGAATGAACCAAATAATCTGTAAAAATGTTAGGATCAAACTTATAAATTTAAACCTTATTTATTTTTTGAATTAGAATACATTATTGTTACCTTTTGATATTAAAAAACAAATAGGCATAATTATAGAGAGGTTAGACCCCGTTTGGCTCATAACTGAACATGTGGTCCTAGACCAACGCGCAAAGATAAATATTATCTTTATTATAAATTAGAAAGTTTTGGAAATCGAAAAATTAATCTTTTTTTTACACACGAGTTCTTTTCTTCTTTCTTTTCTAAAAATAATAGGGAGATAAACATAAACAAGATTGATTTTCATAATGTATGATTGAATTAAAATAAAAGATGGCAGCGGTTAACTTTCCGGTAAAACCCAATTTTAAGTATTTTATATCTTTTTAAAAAAAATCGGGAGAAAGCGTTAAATTAATCGACGGCGTAATTTGGCGACAAAAGTAAGAAAAAATCTAGAGGTAATACGTATAAATTGAACGTTTACGTTCATTTAGATTGGTTTGCCATTTTATATAGTATCGTCCATTCAAAATTTTAACTAAAGCCTCTAGTACTTATTTGTTCAAGCGGTGCGGTATTTAACGTCACGTTATTTACAAAATCAAGCCAATAAATAAGTATAATTTATAAATATGGAGTGAAACGATAGAAGCTATGATATAATTTTAAAAACATCATGTTGCGATGCGATGAAAAAATATATGCGCTACGATTATAAAAATAGTCGACTTGATAAAGAGAAATATGAGATTCGGAAATATTATGTAAAATAATTTTCTCTATTTTTATTTTACAAATTATTAGCTCTCTAAAAAATCAGTTGAGATTTCTGTACACATCGCTTGAACAAATCGCTTTTACTATAAATGAGGCCTAAGTTATAAAAAAAGAGTTAGTTTTTGTAAATTATAATATCGTCTGCCTTTTTTAAAAATATTAATTTATGAATATTCCATTTTGAGAGATAAGTTATTTTTTTACATTTTATGCAATATTTATATATAATTAATATTATTCTTATCTGGTAACTAGATTTTATCGGTTTTCTTGCCAAAAAACCTGAGTTTTTAAAGAACGGGTCATAGACCAACGTGCAAAATGAATGAATAAAAGAGTATATAAAAAAACAAACCAGTTTAAGTTTTTTAAAATGGTTTCCAACGCTCAATGGTAATCTGAACACTTTGCACTATACCATTTGTTTGCAACTGAGCTTTTGAAATGCGCAATTTATACACTATAAGACAACATTATTCCTTGAATCGTGATAAATAATTTTTTATACCAAAATAAAATTACTATATATAAATGTTAGTGTCAATAAGTTTTTTTAAATCTTTAAATCAATATTTTCAAGCGTTTTAAATTTTCAGATAGTTTTTACAGTAAATGTATTCCCAATATGTTTAGAGTTCCTACCCTATGTATTTCAGATAATTTTTCCTCTAACTTTTGAGTTACTTATTATTTATACAAATAATCAACGGAAAAAATGAATATTATTAGATATTAAGCTCAAAAGTTAGTGGCAAAATTGAATGAAATTATCAGAGAAGGTATACTGCTGGAATTACTTTCCTTATGGGATTTTATAAAATTTAAAAAAACGTGCTCAAAAAATGATTTAAAATTAAAAAAAAATACATTGACAGAAAAAACACATTGGTGACTAAGTTATGCAGGGTTTCAGACACGTCTTGATTAATTTAAGTTGTAATAAAGCTATGCTCATCCTATGCCACAATGATCCGAATTATCAATAAAAAAATTTCAAATTATGAATTATGGTAATGTGCTGATAATATATTAATTAAGGTTATATTTAGATCATTAAATCTAATTCATTAATGTCAATTTCCATTTGAATCTTGGTCTATAAAAGTTAAAAAAAATTACAGCTTCAGATGCGTTTGTGGAAGAAAATAGTCTTTACTTTCAAGCTAGCATCCGTCAAATCGACGTTATTGAGCGTAAGCATTTTTCTTCCAAATTTATCTTTACTCATGATAGCTCTTTTGTTGCGATTATCTTCTCAGCGATAAAAATTCAATTTTCTTTAAGTGTAACTGCATTATTTAAATAAATTCGATACAATGCTTTGCATGATATTGTTTACAAGATTCTAAAACATCATACTAACTCGAATAACCAAATCGGGAAATTCTTCTATTCTCTGGACAAAGACTGTATATGCTACACTTTTGGCCATTTGTTTTTTTCGAAATATCCACTAAGCGTCATAATATTACCAACCTGTTAGGATTCAATGTAACGTTATTGTTACGATCCTATAGAAAATTATATTTCATACGCTGCCCAGCACAACCGAAAAATGAATTCGCAACAGCCGATGATTGTGCCACGCCAACACCAAACAAAAAGTGGAGGCTAGCAAAGCAAAAACACGATTTCAATTTATTTCCAAAATTCAGATACACGCGACCTCATGGTAACCCTTTCCAAGAATAAAATTTAATAATCATTAATCAGCTCATACCATACCTCCTCCCGACTTCCATTTAGTTTGACTCATCTTTTTAAATGTTAAAAAATTATTGCATTGCACAATAAAACAGAACTGAAGAGAAGAATACTAATGTTTTTGAATTGAAAGTAAAGAATTATTAGGTAGTTAGTCCAATTTGGGTCGATTTTTTTAAAACAATTTGGTTAAGATTTTGGCCAAAACAATATTATGTAAGCCTCGAGATTTGGCAAATAGATATTCAAACCTTACCACCATTTATGAGCAAAATCTCCAGACTTACAGCATATTATTTTGATTAAAATCTTAATCGGGCTTTTTAACAACACTATATGCAATAAAAATTTATGTACAAGGATTTTCTAATAATTAAAATTTAAATACTTTTTATTCTTGATTTCAATATTAATTTCAAAATATAATATAATATCAAAAGTTAGGAAAGAGGGCATTTGAAAAAATATCCAAATTGTTTTTTTTACAATTTGGTGCCACTCAGGGTGATAGCTCTGACTGCTATCCCCTAAACACAGGGCATGAAACATTGGCATAGATTATTAAGTGCTTCCAATTTTTCAGCCAACTTTAACATACATATATACAAAGATATAGTCTTAATTTTTTGCAGGTAGGGTCTGGTCCAATTTCAGGCTGGTTGGGATGGGTGAAGCCCCTTTTAGTACCCCTCTATTTTGGATAAATCCTGGTTACTCTTTTGATGCACAAAATTGCAGAATGGTATAGATTGATAATAAATAATATATTTACTTTACATTTAAAACAATGTAAATGTTTTTGTTGCTTAGTTCCTTCTATGTTCAAATTATTTTTTTTTCCATATTCCGTAAACTAATTTGCATAATCATTTCATTTTTATAATAAAAATATTTATTATTTTATTTTTTTTAAATATGAGTTTGGGAAAAAACAAAAAAAATTTGATAAAATAAAATTTTTATGTTTTACCTTTATAAAAAAGATGACATTATTTAATTTTTTAAAAAAAGGAAAGAATGTAAACAATTTTAATTAAATATAATATAACATGAAAAGAAAAGTTTGAAAATTTAAATATTTTATTTCCGTTCTCAATATCGCTCGCACATTCAAAATTAACCTATATCAAGAGAGAAAAAATAATGAAAAATTCATGCGAAAATATTAAATAGAAATAAATTATTTGAAAATAACACCTCTAAAATGTGAAAACACGCAAATACATATATACTATCAGAGAAGAAAAGCAATTCCAAAACAATCTTATAATCAAAATTTTCTTAGATGATGTTTTTTTTTCAGAGGAAACCCATAAAAAATGACGTGTTACAATTATCATTATTTTAATTCAGAACAGGTTATAAATATTATAAATTATGCGATTAAGGGATGTGAACCCAAATAGGGTCTAAGAATTTTAAACTCTATTTGGCGGAATTTTTTTTTAACGGGAACTTAATCGAAATCTAGGTCTGAACTCTCCCTAAGTTCATATTGCCACGGATTCGTGGGATTGTTTATAAAATGGCCCCTGTTTTGTCTGTGGTTTTAAAATGCCTCAACCAACCTTTAACATTTTAAATTCACCCTATCAATTCCCTGTTTATATTCATCAGAAACCTACAGGTCAGGCCCATAAAATAGTATAATTTTAAAATTAGGGTTGTCTGGGGCTTAAAATTTATTTTTCCAAACTCGGGCCAAAAATTTTTTTTTTTCCGAAAATTGAGCCTAAAAATTGTCTGGCATTTATTTTTTTATAAAATATTTGCTTGAATAGTTTTCGCATACAAATTTCCTTATAAAATATATCTATCCCAATCTAAATTTGGTTTTGAGGTAAAAACAAAATTTTTTTTATAATTCAAAAAATAAAATACACATATAAATTAAATCTCATAAATTATAAGTATATATTTTTCCTTTTTATATAAAAAAAAACGTTGACATTATATACATTAATATTATACCGTATACACTCATATTTTTTTAATATAAATTTATAACCTATAAGAGAATATGATTAGTTTTTTAAAAAAATTTTTCTTTACCCCGTATTTAATCCACGTGTCGTGTGTCGCTTAATTTAATATGAATATATAAAATTTTTATATTTTAAATATCAATGAAAGGTTGCAAATAAAAATTAAACATTTCATGAGTTTATTTTTATTTTTTTTGTTCTAAAAACACAAAGAGAATAAAAGAAGTAATAATCAAAAATACACACAAAGATAAAACAAACAAGATTTCAAAATCAATATCAATTAATAAATATATCATAAATATCTGATAAAAAAAAGATATATAATGGCGTATGAAAAGAGGTTTTTTTTTCGTGTTGATGATTTATTTAATAAAGGTTAGACTTCGTCCTACTAGCCCCTGGGTAGCTTTCTCCATAAATTTTAATTTTGTGGTATCATATCTTTCCAATACATACATCGTGGGCAGACCATTCTTGTGACAAAATTCTTAAAGATCTTTAACAGAGTTCTGACAGAGTTTACTGTAAAACAATTCGATCTCTGATAAAAATATAATTTTTGAACTCCGCCCAAGCGCCTAGAATAAAATAGATTTAATATAAATGATGAAACGAACTGACTCGGGATATAATTTTACTTTTATAAGTGAGATCGAATAAAAAACTATTGAATAATATATAGTAAATACAATGGATATAAAAAATAAAAAAATTAATGACTTAAAATGAAGAAAATATAAACAAATAAAGATTTGTAAAAAAAAATGTGGCGCGAATTCGCGCTAACTATGAAATAAGGGTTATAAAGTTTTTAAATGTGAGACTCATTGTGCGGGCCTTGCTTGAAGACGGAATAGTTGATTGAATCAAAGATAAAGAAAAAACCGATAAAAAACAGAATTTTTCTGGAACGAGTTTTTTAAATGATTTGAAAGGGTAATATTGTCATTTGGACATTCTTTGTGTCTTATTTTGCAGAAATTAAATTTGTTTGAGTTTAGTAATCGATTAAACTAACTACTAAGTGCAATTTAAAAATATGAGATTAACGGACATCAATGATAATTCCTGGAATTATTGTGCTTGTATATGGTCTCACTTTTTTAGGAAATAGAATGATTGATATTACATTTTTAATAATTAAATTAGCACAAAATAGCGATAATAAATTTCTAATTATGCATATCGTAATAAATTAATCTGTTACGTAAAAATTGAAATAAACTATATATGTTAAAATTAAAAATATATTTTTTTTAAAGTCATTAAAAATATAACGAAGATTGATTTGGATCGTGAGAAGAATTTTAAAATTAAATAGTTATTTTTCGAAGTTAATTCAATAAATAATTTATGAATAGAAATATATATTGTGTCAATGCATGAATGTTTGAACCTAATGTTTGCCTTTAGAAATATTATGATCTTATAAAATTAATAGTTTTTGGTTTAAATTCCTTTGTAATCCTATCATCAAAGTAAGACAAATGGAAGTAGTGCTTATACTACTATATAACTTTTACCCTTTGATCAATCAACTTCTCCATATATAATATTAGTTTATATTATTACTATTATAAATAAAATATTAAAATTAACAATTGTCATTACGATGGAGAAATAATATATATATTATTATTCAATATTAAATATATATATATTTTTTTTAAGAGTTCCTTAAATAATATTTAAGTATGCAAAAAAATAGATATCCATTTTTGTTCTCATACACTATTTTGTTTTCACTTATAATTTGCGACAGCAATAAGTTTTCGATTCAATCTTTATTGTTTAGAGTTCGTAAGCTATGTTGGACATTCTAACTCTCACGGAGTAATCATGAAGCCGAGCCATAAAATTCAATTTAAACTAATGTTTTATTTTAACCTTGAAATTTTATTAACAATTTTTTGGCCACGAAATTTATTAACACTTTTCTCTTTTGGTTTGCAAACATACCAAATTTTGGGGATATTATTTATACAGTATTATTTACATTACAATGATAAAATTAAAAAAAATATATATTTCAACACATTATTTATGTATGGTAAGGTAAATATATCTATTTTCTATCACCCATATTGATACATAAAACCACCACTCCTACATTCTTTCTTAGTTTGTTTTATATACATACAATGGCAAGAATTTTATTTCACTGATACATACATACATAGATAAATAATTAAAATAAATTAATAACCAAAACTATAACCATATGTTTAATATCTTCAAAGTTATTTTATAAAAATTTTTTTATTCGCTTCCCTGTTCGCACTTTCGTTATTGTGATTTGATTTTAACATTTATGAAGCCTTCTCAATGTAAGAGATTATTTTCTACAATTTTATAAGTCATTTTAGATAGATTGATATCATTAATTTTAAAAAATCAAAATGTTAATTGTTGTGATATTCAAAATAATATTTATTAAAATAAAATATAAGTTTGTTTATTTCAATAGGTTAGGAATTTGGTAATAAAGAGAAAATTTTTGTAAAAGCGGAGATGATATATTCCATCAAAACAGACGTAAATTTATTCATAAAAACCAGTTTGGTCACCTGTATCATTTGGGACCTGACTCACAAAATTATCGGCGAATTATACTATAACAATCCAAGGGAGCCTCTTCAGGTTTCATATTATTATTTTATCTACACATTACCATTAATATAGTTAAACAAATTACAACCGGATCGGTTTATTTAGGTCGCTTCTCTCCGAAATATCTTTTCCAAAAAAAGTTGTCGGCTGCATTTAGATTGAGCTTAAAAACCCAAGGGAATCATTTTTTTTTATCTGAAATCGGGAAGGAACGACTCGTGTCTGAATGAAGTCGACCCATTTAAAAAAAAAAAATCTAAGGATTATTTATGAAGCTGTAAAAAAATTTTAATTTTTTTGGAAACCTTTTTATTAACTTGGTTTAGATTGTATTTTTTTTGCTAATTTTGAAAAAAAAAATTTACTTTGAATATATTTTTTTAGGGATTCTAAATTTCTCGATTTTAAATCATTTACCGCGGGTGACTTAAAATCCTTCAAATTCTGATTTTACCCGGATATGTCTTCCAGTATGTATAGAGTTATTCTTGTTAAACGGCTCGATTTATAAAAACTGCTAACCCAATATTTTAGTCAAAAAAAATTTTACGTAGACCTAGAGATTTTTAGCTCATAGTTGACAATGGTTTGGAAATCTGTTAACGAAAGCTCAAAACTTGCGTAATACTGTTATGGGTAAAATCTTAATTTAAAATCGAGCTAAATGAATTTCTGATAATTTTCGCAATAAACTTTTGCGTATTTTTTTAAAAAAAAATTTATATGAAAAATATTCGTTCAAAAAAAATTAACTTTAAATTAAATAGTAGTTTCTTATAGTTCACGGTAAAATTGTTTAAAATTTGAAGTGTGGTTATACTCTATACATGTTGAAATGCATTTCCGGTCAAAAGATTTTTTCAATTTAAAAAATTGCTCTCAATGAATGATATAAAAATGGTGAGATTTCAAATCTTTTTGAAGTCCATATCCCACTAAGACATATATAAGAGACGCGTAAAGGTAAAAATTATAAGTCCGGCTTGGATTTGAAGAAGAAAAAAATTGTTTTCCAGGCAGACCCGGGATTAAAAAAATATTTTTTGGCCCAACCTAGAATTTTGTTGGACTATAATATTTATTGTCTCCTATGTAGTGTTGTTAAACAACTCAGCCACGTCGGCTTAGTCGCTACTCAAGTCGAGATCAACTCAAATTGAGTTTTGAATTCGATTAATCCACTCATTTTTAAGGCTCGAGTCGCGGTTTGAGTTTGCGAGCAACTTCATTACTCGAGTCAGACTAGAAATTATGATTCAAGTTTATTACTCGGAAAATTAACATTTTCTTGATGAGCCATTTGAAATTAAGGATTATGATTGAATATATTTTAAATCCTTATAGTTGGCGTTTCTAAATAAATATCTATTTTTTTTTTATAATTATATTATACATTATACCGATTTTTACACGAGTTTGAAAAACACCTCTCAACATAACTTTATAACAAAAATGATATTTATTAAATTTTAAAATAAAATATTAAAAGATAGCATAACATAAAACTATATTAAAATAACATGTAAAAAAAGCATGTAAGCAATTTAAACAAGATAAATATAAATAAAAAAACTATAAGAGGTGGTGGGGGGAGGCTCTCAAGTGGTGGGGGGGGGTAAACAAAAAGAGGTTCTGATTTTTTAGTTCCGGTATTTTGAAATGTTTTATACAACTCGACCCTTATACCCCGGGTTTTGGTCTGATCCTGTGCTCTGCAAAATAAATCACGGTTAAATATACAGCTATGATGTCCCTCAAACGATTTAACATTTGCGTCGCTACAAAATGCCGGTTGCTATAAACGAGCCCCTTTATTCGCGATTCGGTCTAATTAAGTTCAAGGGAAAACTGTTTTACGACTTCAACTTGAGTGTGGATATAAACTCGAACTATTAAATGATATTACCAACTTCTTAGTAAATTAGACCCAGTCCAGAATTCTGACTCTGGTACGCCTGCTTATTAGGTTTTGTTTATAGAGTTTACTAAGTCTATTCAAGTCTGGGTCAATTTTCTCTACTGGTGCTTATGCCTAGATCGATTTATATCACTCGCTATAATTTTAGTCGATTTTTATGACTCATACACCGATCTTGGTCGATTTCTATGACTCGTGATCAGATCTGGGTCAAAATTTATCATTCTAAACCCGACCCGGGTTTCTTCTAAATAATTACTTTTGAGGATTTTAATAGAATTATGTAAAAGTAATACTGGAATCACATCTACCATTTTGGAACTTCTGTTTTATTTATCAATCTTATAATCTCGTTTATTTTTTAAATAGTATTTATATTTAAGAAAATCTGTTATATTTAGTTGGCTTTAAATGATCATCTATATTTAAATGTATTACTTTTATCACAGTATTACTGGTATAGCTACATAGGCATATAATTATCAATGATCAGTATATGTAATGTTTCTAACCATTATACATCGGAATGATACCAAACAAATTAAAAGATACAATGATTTGGATCAAGATATCTTTAAAATAATGCTTATAATAACTAGGACTAATGATTTGTATACATCTACTATTTACCCTAGAAATCTATATATCCTTCCGGTACGCCTTGGCCGATGCCAAAAAATATAAAATTTGAACCTATTTCTCTATCGTTAAATCCTGAAACGTTGGTCATAACTTCTAATTTGCAATGTGATATCCTCGAAAAAGCTTTCGAAAGGTATATATATATATTATTTTTTTTTTCAGAAAATTGAGGTATCAGTTTTATGGATATGTTAACGGCATTTGTTTTTTCCGGGGATGTGTTATTTTTTAAATTTTAAATCATTTTTTGAGCTTTTTTTTAAATTTAAAAATCTTTATCTGAAATTTATTCCAGCATGTTTGGATAACCTACCCTATGAATTTCAGACAATTTTGCGATGAACATTTGAACTTAATATAATTTGTATTAGTTTTTCTCTAGATTTCTTATATAAATTATCAATGACTCAAAGGTTAGCAAAATTATTCATAAGATAGCTCTTCTAAACATGCTGGAATATATTTACGGTAAATCAGATTTTTAAATTTTATAAAGTGCTCGAAAAATTATATAAAGTTGAAAAAATAAATTGCCGGAATTAACACATTGCCGCTAACATATATATAACTAATTTTAATAATGGTCCAGATACGCGAATATAATGTTTTCGGACGAAAATTATCACATTGATCCAGAATTACCACAAATCGCTAAACTAAATCTAATCATTCGATCTAAAATCTGTGAATCCTATCCTCCCCCAAACATGGACGAAGCTTGTAAGTTTCTTTGTGTAATAAATTTATTTGCATTTAATTAAAAACGTCAATTTTTTTTGACAGATAATAATAATCCTTCATTAATATAAAAATATATATAATACATATTTTTAATATATATATAATATCGTTTTCCCTTATCTTTTTAGACGAATTATATTTTAAAAAATATTTCTATGACCCGAAACGCAACGATATGCAAAGCCCCGATCTCAACACTATACAAAATCAAATATATCGTGACAGGGAAGAAACCCTTTCTGACATTAGCATTTATGATGTGTACGAAGCCCGCATCATTTCTCAAACGATTTGGGGTGCTTTGAGGGGTAAACATCAATATATATAAATATGATTGGCGCTTTTTGGGGGTAAAAGTAGTATTATATTATAGAAATTGATGTTTGTCTAATTAGGTCTTTTAATTTGTATATTCAGTGTGGTGGAAACTAGAACTTTGCAAAATCAAAATTTTTAGACCATTGTCCACTCGCAACCCGATGTTAGGCTCAGTTTTTTGAGGCCCACTTCCGGAATTTTATTTTTAAAAGCTTTTTCAATTTTCTTTTAAAATTTATTTTATACCGGTAGGACTTATTTTTAATGATTCTCGTTTAAAAAATATATAATAAAAGGTCTAGAAACATTTAGTCAAATGATAACGTACACCAACAACAATACGGTAATGAAATAAGTTGATAAGTGAATATCAATAATTTTAATTATATTATATATATATATATGTATGTAAGTAACAATATTATGATAAGTTTAAGATATCTTAATAGATAATAGGATATTACACATGAGTGTAAATTTTATATGTTAAATAAAATTTTTAGAAAAAATAGGTTATGTTTGTGCCTTTTTTTAAATATTCTATCTCAAAGTTAATTTTAATCTATAAAAAAAATATGTATTTATATTATGACATCCTTCTGATCATATTAGTCTCCTAGCTTGGTCGCAACACCTTTTATCATTAAAAATTATTTATAATTAATTAAATAATGATCATGAAAATTATATAATTAAATAAATGGGAGAAATATTTTGGTTTTAATACGCCTATCTTTTTTCTAAATTTTGTTTAATTTCACTTATGCTCATTTAAAAAATATAAATAATTAGAATTTCAATATCTTTCTATTAGCAAATATGAATTTCGAATTTTAGGACATTAGAGGAGAGGTGTGATTCTATCTGGATTTTTGATTTAAAAATTATAATTAGTGTTTACCCTGCATTTAATTAGCACAAATTCGCGGCGAAGCAAAATAAACTGTATTTTCTGTATTCTTCGCACCGTATTCGCGCATTAACTCTGAATGAAGGAGGATTTTATTCTAAAAATTAAAGGCCCAATTAACTCGAATAATGATTATTAATTACATTAACCGATTAAGTCATTACCTTCGGGGTGTCAAACTCAGGACCATCTTAAATGGCATATTACCTCATTATCGTGGAACCTTTTTCATATATTACTGCGAATATTGATTACCACGAAGATATTTCGGCGAATGCATGTCAGATTGTGCACTAAAGTGAATTTCAGTGATACGAATCATTCGCGATAATGCATTCACGATAATGCTTTCACGGTAACATATTCCCTTCATAAATTCGCGAAATTGTGTTCTGATTATTAAAACATTCGATAAGGATTTCACGATAATATTTTCGCTGTGACATATTCGCGGTATTAATTTTGCGATATCATATATGTGAATGCATTCTCGTTTATACATTCTCGCGGTAGTGTACTGATAATGTTTATTACCAATTTTTTTTTCCTGATTTGATACGTAATCACCATAACTATTTGTCAGTTTTATTAAACTCTTATTACGACAACAAGGGTTGTGAACCCGTAGCGGGTTCAGGAATTTTAAACTCTATTTAAGGAAAATTTTGATAACAGGAACCTCATCGAAACCGATTTTCTAAAAGTGGTATAAACCCATCCCATGTCCATATTACTTCAGGTCGGTTCCTGTTTGGTCTGTGATCTCAAAGTGAGAGATCAAACAATTTTAAACTTCTGAAACCGAATTCGAGTACAAAACCCTGACGACAACAATATCATATTCATTATGAATTAATAATATTCCATATTTTTCACTTACCTAACAAACTTTACAGTATGTAATGAACAAGCAAACAATATACGATAACCCGCGGTTTAAACATAGAGGACTATTGGTAGACACTGCTCGACATTTTATACCAGTGTTCATCCTGAAGAAAATATTAGTAATCTCTAATATATAATCTCTATAATCAAAACATGATGTTTTCATTTCATCTTAAAGTACTAAAATTTAAGGAAACTATATAGCATAATTTTAATTTTTTGCTATCACCAGTATCGAACCCAAAATCCCTGCCTCAAAAGCTAACGCTCTGCTGGTGGCAATTACGAGTTTTGATATTATTTATAAATTGCTTTTCCCTTTTTTTACAAAAATGGGTTTTCAAAAGTGGGTATTTATATAGAATTGAATAATATCTATAATAATATAATATATTTAGTCAAGATAGAGTAAATTTCAATAATGTAATGCTTAATGTAATTTTTACAATACTTCATGGATGCATGGCTCAGTTAAGATCTTTGTTATTAAATTCAAAACAGTCTTGAAAATTTTATTAGAATATTAGCCAAACCAATTATATGAAAATGAATATATTTTTGATTGAATTTTATTAGTTTACTATACAAAATTTTAATTTTTGTTATAATTCATATTGTGATTAACCAATGTTTTATTCTTTAATAATTGCTCAGGATATAAAAATTTAATGCTTGTAGTGATATATAAAATAGGAGAATATTTTTTTAATAATGAAAATTATGCTTTAAAAAAGCTACTTTTTTTATTTAAGGTATGCCAAGCCTTTAAGTGTTGGATGGAATAGTTTATCATTTAAAAATATTCTTCAATTTGATAAAATACACAATCTCTTTTTTTGTTTAATTGGCCCAACAATTTATGCCAACATCTCTAGAATTTCTAGGCTTGAAAAATTTATAAAATAAAATTAAAATTCAGGGGCATTCAGGATTTCCGCAAGAGTATTCAGAATTTTTGCAAGAGGGAATGGGGTCAATAATTTTATTAGGATAGTTTTTAGCCAGATTTTTGCAAATCTTTGGCCAGTACTTTTATTTTATATTTTTGGTTTTAAATATTTTTTCCCCGTTTAATTGTTTCTTTATTTAAGTAATATGTAATTTAATATAATATTCAAAAAAATCCATTATTTATAGTGACTTATTTAATTCATTATTCTCGGAAATGAAATGAGAAGGGGAGTTTTGATAGAGACTATCCTCCCCTTTGGTTCCTATATTTTAATAATATAAGACGATAAATTTTTGTAATATACTTTTTCCATTTTTCTTATATTTTTCTCGACAAAAATATTAACGTTCATTTCATTGGTTATTGTCAGGATTAGATGGTTGTTTTCTATTAATTTTATCGTAGTAAACAAATAACTTTTTTTTAAAAAAAAATCTATAATGAAGAGGCGATGGTATATATATATGTTGTATTTTAAATAAATTTGGGGATTAATTAAGAATTTTACAAACTCTAGGTTTCGCTATTGCATTCTCATAAATATGTATAAATTTTAGGACGGTATGAGTTATAACAAAATGAACGTATTTCATTGGCACATAGTTGACGATCAAGCTTTTCCCTATGAATCAATCACTTTTCCAGAATTATCAAAAAAAGTTAAACGAAATTAAATATTTCTACTTTTGTTCATAATAATAAAAATAAAAATTTTAATTGGTTATAATCTTTATATAGTAATCAATAAATTTTTTAAGGAGTTTATTAACCTGACCCTAAGCAGAGATATAGTATTATTTAAGCTTGCTAAAACAAAGTTTGATTGTGCTCACTGGTCAACTAACTCAAATAAATAGTTTAGGCAGGCAGGGCACACCACTCTGCGATAAAAATTTATAAATATCTATACAATATTTTTATATATTGAAAATAGGGTGCATATACCCCGGCTCACACATATAAACAAGATGATGTTGCAGATATCATAAAATACGCTCGATTTCGAGGAATAAGGGTTATACCGGAGTTTGACACTCCTGGCCATACATTTTCATGGGGAAAATCTCATCCAGGTTATTAACGATTATATTTTGGTAAAAGATATATTACGAATTGGAAATAAAGCTTTTTTTTAAAAAAAATTTGAAAATAATGGATCTTTTATAATTTAAAATAATTTTTTTTGAAAATATTTAAATCCGATCCTTGAAGTTGACCTCAAATTGTGCCATTTTTAAAAAGTTGCGGGATAATATATCCCAACACCTTGAATTTGGTAATATTTTAAATACTTAACATAATGTTTTATAAGAGTTTGATAACGAACTAAATCTCCTTTAATTTGAGGCGACTATAAAAGAAAATTTGGAGTTATCGCTGGTTAGCCAATTGTAAAAATAAATAAATAATTTATGTTAAGAAATTATGACATCATGTTATGGAGATGGGAGAAATCCTAATACACCTCGTTTGCCCTATCATCGTTCTAGAGAGAATTTAGACCCCTTATCTCCTATTACTTATAACTTTATAGAACGTTTGTTTAAAGAAATATTTCGCATATTTCCTGACCCGTATTTCCATGCTGGAATGGATGAGGCATTTCCCGCTTGTTGGTATTATTTTGAATTTCAATTCACATTGATAATCATATTGAAAAATATTTTAATTTTTTTTAAGAGGATTTTTTATATTTTTAAAAAATTATTTATAATAGGCGTTCAAACCCTTATATTAATAACCTAACATCCAATACTTATTACGACCCTTACAAAATCGCTTTCGATTATTATATCAATCGTACGGTAAATATCATCAATAAATATCACAAAAACATAATTGTTTGGGAGGATCCGGTCGAAGATAATATAAATGTATATAATCTTTAAAATTATTTATATAGTTAATTTTATTATTGTAAAAGAGAGGATTTAAAATTCTATTAAGGACCAGAGATAAGAACATGCAAATAGAGGAATTTAAAATTGTTTGGTTTGGACATTTTGAGACCACAGACCAATCAGAGATGGATTTATGGGGTTCAGACACCTTTAGGAAAATAGGTTTCGGTTAGATTCTTGTTATCAAAATTTCGGCTATAGTTTAAAATACCTGAACCCTTATTTGGGTTCACATCATTGTTTAAAACTATAAAATATATCTTATCAATTTACATTCCTCCATCCTTTAAGATTATTTATCTGGTCAATTAAAAAAATATTTTTTGTCTGACTGAATAAATGAGAATCCGATTTATTATAGAATAGGTCTGGTTTTAAACAACCAAATAAGGTCTTATTTGACCAAAATTATGTTGCTATTGCGGAAATATTATAAGTTAGTTGAGTTTAAGACCTATTTTATTTCGTTTTGTCTTTAGTTATTTTATTTTTAAGTAAATAATTTATAACTCCCCAAGACAAACTTAGAACAGTTATATCTTTAAATGATTACTTGTGAAAATAAAATTGGTTTTAATTTAAGTCAATTAACGAATACAAAAAAAATTGATCAATCATTATAATCATAAAAGTCATTTTTTAACAAATATTTTTTATGAATATAAAATATTGATTAAGCAAAGCTCTCACAAACTTATTTTATAATTTAATAGTTAGGCCATGTCATGGTTTGATTTAATTTTAAAACTTATTTTTGTTTAGCCCTGGTTAAACATATTTTGAACAAGGACATCCTATTATATTTCAAGTGTAATAGATATTTTACTTTAGAAAAAGAGTCACAAAGATACGCTACCCATGTAAATCTAAATAGACTGTTTAGATGAGCTACATAGACGACTAAACAGCCTGTTTAGAAATAATACGAACCAGGACACGGTCTTCGCTTCGAAATTATATTTCTTTTTTAAAAAAGAGGTTTTTACTTATTAATTTTGATAAACGAATTTTCTAAAATGAACTAACAGAACTTAACTAAATATTTGACGCTATTGCTTGCTATAATTTTTTTCCAAAATCTAAGTTACACTTGCGAAAAAAATAATCCTATTTATGTATTTAAATTTTACCAAATCTTTAGCATTATCTTAGTACATAGGTTTAATTTAGTCAAGAGGGAGGGAGTTTATTTTTTTGATATACTTGAGTAACTTTGAAAATATAAACTAAAAAAAGCAGGGTTGTGGACCCGAATTTGGGTTCAAAAATATAAAATTGCTTGGTTGGGAATTTTGAGATCACAGAGCAGTGACCGATTTATAAGCCACCCATCGAACCATGGGCGGGTTCGGACCTTTAAAAAATCGGTTTTCAATTAGCTTGATTTTAATAACAATTAAATATTATATAAAAAAATAGACAAGTTAGTATCCTTTGTTTGGAACTAGAAAAAATATTGCTTGTAACATTATCCAAAAACCGCTTTGAAAAAATGTTTTGTCTGGAAATGGCCAAATAGAGTTAAAAATTCTTGAAACCGAATTCTGGTCCACAACCCTTAAAAAAAGGTCATTTTGAAAATATTAGTTTAAAAAAAGATAATTTTAAAAATATTAAAGGTAAGTTCAAAAAAGAGCCTCACTTCCCCCACACTAGATTTCTAAGAGCTAGTTACCATATTTTAATTAACTAATCAAATTATATTAAAAATAGTTGCCAGAAAATATAACGCTTCAAGTTTGGAAGAATTGGGGATTCGAAGTATCGCTAACTCACAAAATTCAGCAATACGCATTATTAGGTCACAAGTTAATAATATCAGCACCTTGGTATTTAGATGAAGAATATCGCAAAGAAGATTGGAAACGATTTTACACGTATGAACCGGAAATGTCTATGGGTATTTATGCAAATAATAACGTAGCTATTTATTTTTTATTATTTAAAAATATCTTTATTTATATAAAAATTGGTTGAACGCGGCAATACTTTTTTAAAAAAGCAACGACTAGAGCATTAGTTAAAATAAATTGATTTCTTTTTAAACAACGAAATTCAAATTAGTTTTTTTTTAAATCAAAATTATTCAAAGACTTGGAATCTTTTTTAACTTCGCCGATTATTGGGGGAGAAGCTTGTATGTGGTCAGAATATATTGACGGGTCTTCAATCTTGGAAACTATTTGGTTTCGATTATTTTACATTTCAACTTTTTTTAAAAAAAAAACATTATATTTATATCATATACAAACACATATTTTAAATAGGGTTATCGGGCAATAAGCCGCGACATTTTACTTCAAACGTAGCGGAAAATCTTTTTTAATAATATATAAATAATTGAGCCTGCTCTTCATTAAAGTTTATTATCAGATTGCCGATAGTTAATGTAATAAAGTAAACATTATAAGAAAACAAATGTAAAGTTGTGCAATTTTTTTTTACTAGGCCTAGAGCATCGGCTGTCGCTGAAAGATTATGGAGTCCAAGGGGAGTTAACAACATTGATAATGCGGAACTAAGATTAGGGGAGCAAAGATGCCGAATGACTAGGTAAAAAAAACTTTATATTATACATAAATTTAATTAAATATCGAGGATGGCTGGAAATATTGAAGAGTAAACTTTGGTTTTGAATTAAAAAATTATTTTTTTTTGTTCTTTAGACTGTATCCAAAATATCCAAAAAATTGATCTGCAAACTTTCAAAACTTTATCAAAAAGAATAAATGCTTTTTTTTAAATATAAAATTAAAACATGTCCAAAAAATAATTCAAGAAAATTTTATAACTTTTTGAATTTTTAGAAAAAATTTTGGACATATATAACCTTAAAAGATATAATTTTCAAGAATAATTTGGTTTTTTTTACAAATAATCTAAATCATTTATTGAAGACTAATTTTTAATTTTTTGACTCAAGTTTAAAATTAAATTTTACATGCCATGGATTCAAAATAAAATAAATACGTAAATCTTTAAAATTTAAGAAATTAATTTTTTTGTTGTTGAATATTTTAAAAAATTAAAGTGTTTAGTTTTTAATTTTAAAACTTTAAATTTCACTAATTATAAAAATGGAATTTTAAGTTTAAAAGAGAAAGAATTAATTCATTATTTATCACAACCTATTTAAATTAAATGAATGAATTTATACTTTTATTAAATGTAAAAATTAGACGAGGAATCGATGTTAGACCTATTAAACCAGGATTTTGTGGGAAATATGATTATGGATTAATGCCAGATTCGACTACTCCTGACAATATTGCCGGAAATCAATGGATTCTACTTCCGTCATAAATGATTTTAATTTTTTTTAAAAATCGGTTATTAAACGTTCGCGAATTATTAAACAAAATCGAATTTATTTATCCATACAAATATTGAGTTAATAGAAAATATTTTAAACCTCCTCAGGTAAATAATTATCCTTTTGTCAGTTGTTTACATTTTGAAAGACCAAATTATAAAATATCTCTATTTATCAATTTTTTTTGCCAAATAAATATTCAGCATATATACTTTTGTAGCCAATTATAAAACTATACTTTTAAATAATTACGATTTCGAAGGGTGACAAATTTAAAAATAATATAACAAACATAAATATATATTATTTAAAACAAATTCGCTAATATTATGTATATTATTCAATAAATTTATGAATATACCAAACAAAATTCTGAATTTTAAGATATATTTAATATTTTTTTAACAGTAAATTTCAGGCACAACAGAATAATTTAAGACCAGATAAATAAAATTAGAGCTAAAAGCGGGTATCTATATTTTATTATACATAATCTAAACCCGTATATTAAAATTATAGATTGGTTTAGTCAATACGTTCGATTTTACAAAAATATAAAGATCCAATCGAGGTATTATGAAATGTCCCAAAGTTTTTTTTGTTTTCTCTGGAGGATAATATTACTATTATCGTCGTCTGGATTTAAATGATCCATTAAACATTTTGCGGTGAGGTACTATTAGGCTTGTAAAAGGAAAAGTTGGTTTGAAGTAATTGACAAAGGGTTGAACAGTCTATAACTCTAATTTTGATGTCGGGATCAAGGTGCGATAAGCAATAGGCGGATCGTATGATGGCATCATTTTGAGATGGGGATAAGTTACAGGTGCTGTTAACCAATTTGACGCCGGACTTCAAATTTCTGATCCCTTCGCTTGTTTTTGTGAAAAAGTTTAAAACGGATAAAAAAATAACACATATTGTTGATGTTTATAATTAATTAGAAGTCTAAGAAACTTGGGGTTAGGCTAATCCATAGGTTAAATTGTTCAGGCATTGTCTAAATGCCAAAATATATGGAATAGACAAAATAAATCTCAAAATTCAGCTGAGATTATAAAAAACAATATTGGCCGATATTTTATATGTCCCAATATAACTAGATGGAACTCCACTTATAATGCTTTACAATTAATGTCAGAAATGATTAAGACTAAATTTGAAAAATTGGACAAGATTTATGGAATAAAATTACCTAGATTTTTATCTAATGAATGTGATTTTATTCATGAATATTGTTTAGTTGTAAATTAAATTTGTATATACAGCAGTATTTTCAATTAGCTAATGAAGCCGGTAGCAAGTTCACTTGATATCCTGCAGGGAGATAAATATATGTTCACAGCTTATTACTCTGCAACTTTCCTAGCTCATTATTAAATTGAAAAATTTTAAACAAATGAACCTGAAATTTTGTTTATCACTCTTAAATGCCTTACTTAAAGGGATTGAAGATAGGTAAATTAATAATAAATTAATCAATATTTAATTATTCTAGGTTTATTGGGACAATTTTTGAAGATGAAAATATTTTGGCAACTATGCTTCATCCTTTTTTTTAAACTAGATTGGACATGGTTGCAAATGGATGAAAATTTTAATAAAAAAAACAATTAATACAAAGATTAGTTGAAGAACTATCAAAGTCTTCAGATCAGTGCAAATTAACCTGTGAAAAAAACAACAATTTAATATCCGATTTTTTTCAGTATCCCACAGCAGGAGATATGATTGTTAATGATTTAAATTCTGATAATCAACAAATTTTAAATAGTTTTTTCAAAAAGAAAGACTTTTTAGTATAGCTATAAATGTCTTTACAGATAAACACGGATGTCTTAATGATGAAAATATTTTATTACTGAAATCTAATAATTATTTATAATCATTTAATCATATATTATATTATATTATTTTATTAATGATATATAATAATTATTTATATCAATTATATATTATATTAATATCTAAAAATCATTATTTTAGTTATATTTTGATAAATGTGATATCGAGTCAATAAATTTTTTAGATCATTTCATGAATTTTCACAATAGAATCCTAATTTAGGTTTATTCAAACCTTATCTAAGAGTATAATAAAAAATGTATCTTTACCTAGATACATTTTAAATTGTATCTGTATCTAGATAACTTTTTAGAAGCTGTATCTGCATATAGACCCATTTAAAAAGTATCTTTTAACAACTCTGGATATTTCAAATGAGAATAAAAATATAAAAATGTTGTTTACGTATTTTGTGCTCTCATAATAACAGTTTCTGTTGGAGAAACAACGGTGAACCTTGTTTATAAGTATAATAATAAATGTATCTTCATCTAGATCCATTTTTAGAGATGTGTGTGTATCTAAACCATTTAAAAAGTATCTTTTAACAACTCTGATATTTATATAATGGTTTCTATTATAAATATCCCTTTTTGCTTTTATAAGATTGTTTCACATAACAAATCATTGCCCATTGTTTAGTATTGAAAACTATTTTTTTTTTAAAAATGCAATATATTTAATTTATTTTTATTTTTTTTTAAAGTTAAAATTACACAACATATAAAATGAAATCACATGTACATTATATTCGAGAAAATATATAGTTATAAATATTATAAAATTTATATAACGCGATTAAAATTACATAAAATATATTCTAATCATCATGTGAGATGAGGCTGCCAATGAAGCTGATGTAATTAGCCCTATGAATTGCTATTGCGAGTCTTTGTCTTAAGAAGAAGCCTTCACGAGGTTCATCTGTTAGTTTGCGGATTAGCGATCCAAGTTCCTTGAAGAAAGAAAGAGCACGATTCCCAAAGGTAGTCAAGGTAGTGGAAATGATGGGAATGAATAAGTGATCTTGGGATATCTCTGAATATTTTGCAATTTTTAGAAGCTCCTTGTTATCCAGAATGTTAAGGGATTGATTGGAAGGAGCCAATGGATCAATACAAGAGTAATCCCAGACCAAGAATTGACCTCGCTTCCAGGGAATTTGAGAGATCCAGTCAGGGCGTTTCCCATCAGATCTGAAAAGGCCAGAGGGTTCGAGAATAGAAGGAATTTGAGCGGATCTCAAAGCTCTAAGAATTATAGAATTGCAAATGTTATGTCTAACGATGCGGCCTTTACATGAACGACAATGTAGACTATGCCTTCCATACTCAAAACAGCAGAACTGCAACCGGCACAGATGTGGGGTTGGATTACTAAGCAATTTAAACGGATGCCTATAGCATGAGTTAGCTCATTTTTGGTCAATTATAATTTTAAGCTCGCGGATGGAATGGCTTCGAGAAACTCATGTCCAGAACCATTAAGCAGAGAGTACAATAAGGGACGGTCCAATGATTGCATACTGGAAAGGAGAGATTCGACGCAGCTTGCAATAATGGGCTTATTCCAGTCCTTCTGCTTGTTCGTTTCTGGAATTGGGTGGTCGGCAATGAATCGAAATTTCCATTCAATGATGGCACTATCAAAGGAAGAGTCATAATTTAAGGAATTAGGATTGACTAAATTTTTGGTTAAAAGACAGCTCGATATAAAAGAAGTTAAGGCAAGATCGGAAGGGGATCTGATGCCTAGTCCTCCCATCTTGGTAGGAAGGGTGGCTTGTGTCCACGCTAATTCATGGAATTTTAGATTAAGAATACTTTCAATTAGGACTTTAATCCCATTTTCATAAATGCCTAAGGAAGTGGGAAATTTAAAAATAGGGGTAGAGTGGAGCGCGTAAAGAATTTTTGGGATATTGAAGAAATTTTTCAGGAGAAAAAAGGCTTTATGAGAGGGGAGAAGGGAGAATAGGTCAGCCAACTCATTAAGGGTTTCGAGTGTAGATTGTAAAAAGGATGATATGGCTGTGTGTCCACCAACGGGAGCACCTAAGTGAGATAATTCCTCCAGAGTAATCTGTTTGAAATTATGAAAATTGTTTTCTGATGAATTAATTAGAATGAATTCTGATTTTTCATGGTTGATTGATAGACCAATGGATAGCCCTGCATCCTTGATTATCATTACAGCTTTATTGATTTCGTCGTTTGGACCACAAAGGATTCCATCATCGATGTACCATGCATGCAATGATAATGAACATGCCTCGTTAATAGATTTAACAATTTCATTGATCCCTAAACAGAAAAATAAAGAACCTAGAGAATCTCCCTGTTGTATGCCCTCAATCGAAGGAATTTTATAGGTATCAAATTGGAGAGTGGAAGGCTGTTGATAGCATGAATAAAAGAATTTAGTGTAACCAGGAAAGAGAATACTCGATGAGCTCAGAAAGGAATTCCGAGAAAGAGTGTTATAAGCATTGTTGAAGTCGATTTTGACTAAAGATTCGTTGGTTGGCTGGGTTTCTAAGTGTATTCTCGTTAGATGAACACTTCACAGCCGCCAGGTATTATAAAATTATTTTCACAACTTTGTTATAAAATTATACATAATAATAATATTTATTTTTAAATTTAAATCGATATGTCTGTTTTAAGTTATTGTTGAAGTGTTTTTTTTTTGAAAATCAAGTTTATATGAAAAGGAAATGATTTTTAAAGGGTATTTAAGTGGAAATAAGTAATTACTAATCTAATCGTAAAAATCTGTCTAATTAGTGCACCTAATATTTCGCAGCTCCTTAAATTTGAACAAATTAAAAAATATGACCACGAGAAGGAAAGAATGATGGAATTAATTGAAGAATTCACCCCAAAACAACGTTATTGTGTGATTATTAAATTATTTTTTTCCAAAATATAAAAATAATCTGTAACTTATCGTAAAGGAAAGGAAATTCATATTTTGATTCCATATTGTTAACATAAAATACTTTTTATATTTAATAAAATTAAAATAATTTTTTACAAAAAAAAGCAGATCGTTTAATTTAGGGCTACGGTCTGGACTTTTTTAAGACCGTAAGGTCCTGTCTATGGGTTTAGGTCAAGGTTCGGGTTAAAGATCAAACCTTGGCAAGAATCCTCAACCCTCACCTGTTGTCG